ATATATATATATATATATAGCTCGTTTAATTTACTGATTTAAATTTTTATTTGAGTTAATATATAATTTTATATGAGAATTTTTTACTGTAGTAAAAAAGTTAGATGTGACTGTTTCTGAGAACTTTTTACTGTAATAAAACTTAAATTTTAAACTCGAATCGGTAAAAAATTGTGATGAGGATATAATTGTAAGTGTTCATACTTGTTTACGACCCATTTCACATTGAAATTCTTGGTGATTACGTCTCCATTAGTCGTTATCTATCAAATATAAAATTTAATAACATGGTGTGATAAAAATTTAATCTCAATAATGTCATTCATATTTTTTTCTTCTATTAACTATATAATTTATTACAACTGGTTAATACCACTCTGCTAAAATAATAATACTTACCGTTGGATAAATAGTTTCAATAATCTTCTATTTGTAATGGATAGATCAAAGAAGCATTAATGTTAGTTTTTTTTTTTTTCATTTTTATTTAATGAGAAGCAAAATGCAACATAAGAAGTATTCAAAGCATAGTCTTAATTTCTATCATTTTATGTATTATATAATGCTAGAGAAGCACGCCGGCGTTGCCAACGAAATTTTATCTTATCTTGATTTAGGTTGTTTATAGCTGACTTTCTAATTATAATTAAACCAACAAGTCAAATAGGTGGCTATATCTTATTAGGAATTTAGGAAATGGGATATTTCGTTAGATAAACATTGTGTCCAATATTTCCAAGCACTTAAAAGGTGTATTATCTCATGGAGCTTGAAATATCTGCGTCGCTATGTATGTAAAACTACGGCCTCGTTCATTTAACCGATTCGAGTTTTCAGTTTTAGATTTTTACAGTAAAAAGCTTTCAAAAAATGTCACATCTCAACTCGAATTAAAAACTCGAATCTGCGAAGTGAACGAGGCCTACAAGTACTATATATCCTAATTATAAGTTTTGCCGACGACTAAAATATAACATGCGTAAACGGAACATTGATCCGCTAGCAATATTAATAACCGTTTGATTCATAAATTTAAACAAAAAAATTTAAATAAAAAATTGAATTTGTGAGGGAAAAAAGTATAATAAAAAAATTTGAAACTGCAGTATAAATCTATAAAAGAAAACGGACCATTAAGAAAACAGCATGCTAATCTCAAGTTTCAAGTGGCAGGTAATTACATTTTATCTAGCTAATTTCACTGGGTTAAATAGCTTAAATTAAGAAAGTATGTTCTCTAATCTCATAACTAACTGATACAACACATTTGAGTCTCGTTTATTTCACCGATTTAAATTTAAATTTTAAATTTTATTACAGTAAAAAACTCTTAAAAATAGTCACATTTAACTTTTTTACTACAATAAATTTTTTTTACATAAAATTATATCACAACTCAAATTAAAAATTCGAACCAACAAACTAAGACCTCGTTCATTTCACCAATTCGAGTTTTCAATTTTAAGTTTTTACAGTAAAAAACTCTCAGAAAATATCACATTAACTTTTTATGCTACAATTCGAGTTTTCAGTTTTAAGTTTTTACAGTAAAAAACTCTCAGAAAATATCACATTAACTTTTTATGCTATAATAAAAAATTTTTAAAAAATATCACATCTCAATTTAAATTAAAAACTCAAATTGTGAAGTGAACGATGCCTGAGCTCACGAAATTTGCACCTAGCGTCTAGACATTTCAGGAGAATCGGTCTACTTTCCGTGATAAAATTTCCAACTGTAACGTACTATCACATCCAAAAGAAATAATATACACATTATTTTGATTAGACTACTGATAAATAATAATGAGAAAAAGACGCAAAAGATAAGGATTCAGATCTCTTTACGGAGCTATATATTAATTTTGTTATTTTTATTCTAATGGATGATGGAGACAGTCATTTCAATTACCATCTCACTCGGTCATGATTTGAATTAGAGTGAAGAATGAACAGAAAAATATCGGTATATATATCATGTGGGCAGAGAAGATAAATCAGATAGCTAATGAACTTTAGTAATATATAGTCATGCATGCTGTGGAACATGGTGACTCGTACGTGGAACTTATATCATAATCAATTTCATAACCGAAATAAAAATAGTTAGATCTCGTTCACTTCACGGATTCGAGTTTTCAATTCAAGCTGAGATGTGACATTTTATGAGAGCTTTTTACTATAACAAAAAAAGTTAGATGTGATATTTTCTGAGAACTTTTTACTGTAAAAACTTAAAATTGAAAACTCAAATCGGTGAAATGAACGAGGCCTAACAAAAAATTTTGTTACAAACAGTGAGGTGACTCTCAAAGTGTAGGAACTCTCGAAGATCTTAATAAACGAAAGATGTCAATCAAAATAAGCTCTATAATTAAAACTAACATATGCAGTTATAAAAAAAAAAAAAAGCATATTTTTTATGAGAGATTTTTTAGTACGTTTAATGTATCAATATGTCAAAATTTTTTAATTATTAAATTTACATATTTTTTATATTTTATATAATTTTATGTACATTTAATGAATAAAAAATTTAATTTATTAATATATTAACGAGAGAAAATTTCATTCTCTATTTATACGAAAAGGCCAAAACAATTACGAAAGCATTAGAAAATATTAATTTGTCCCTCACCCGGAAGCAAGAAATAAGAAAATAAAGACAAGGACTTTCTCAAAGGTCAAAGTCAAACAAAACAACTTCTGGATTCTGAGGAGCTGGCGCCTAGAAGCAGAAGAAGCAGCCCCACTTGAAGTTTGCATTTACGTTATTTAAAACCTCGTTCATTTTGTTGATTCGAATTTAAAATTTGAATTGAGATGTGATTTTATATGAGAGTTTTTTTACTGTAGTAAAAAAGTTAAATGTGATTATTTTTTAGAACTTTTTACTGTAGCAAAACTCGAATTCTAAACTCAAATCGGTGAAGTGAACGGAGCCTATACTACTACCGTAACCATCACCGAGTACAGTAGCGTGGCCGTAAATTAAAGATCATTGTGGCATGGTCTCGTTAAAGATTTGAGTACTGAGTGCTGCTGTTTAGAAATTTTAGATTGGAGGTAAAGATCTTATTCAAGTTAATTTAATGCTCATTTTTAAGGTCTCATTCATTTCGCCGATTTAAGTTTAGAATTTAAGTTTTACTACAGTAAAAAGCTCTCAGAAACAGTGACATCTAACTTTTTTACTACAATAAAAAACTCTCACATAAAGTTATATTTTAACTCGAATTAAAAATTTAAATCAACGAACTAAACGGGCTATATTTGAAACCGCATCCTTATATTTAACCGTTAACATATTTAATTAGTTAAAATGACGAACTCTTCGTTAAAACTAATAATAAAACTTTCAACAAAACTTCTTATTCTTATGCTATATAATCGTTTAGTAAACACTTAGAGAGATATGCTAACGTAAGTGTACACTTATTGACTTTTATCGCGATCAAAACCATATATAGTGCTCATCCACAAACACTTGACACACACGTTTTTGACAAACATGGCTCCAACCATTTCCCTCCAAAACTTCATTCTCTCAACTACCTTTCTCCTTCTCTTCTTCACAACACCCTCATTTTCCCAACAATCTTTCCGCCCAAAAGCCCTGGTGGCAAAAGTCTCAAAAGACACCTCAACTCTCCAATACTTGACCTATCTCAGCCAAAGAACCCCTCTCGTCCCCATCAGCCTCGTCTTCGACGTCGGCGGCCAATTCCTCTGGGTCGACTGTGAATCCAACTACGTCTCCTCCACTTACCGCCCCGCTCGCTGCCGCTCCGCCCAGTGCTCCCTCGCCAAAGCCTCCGGTTGCGGCGACTGCTTCTCCTCGCCGCGTCCCGGCTGCAACAACAACACCTGCGGCGTCTCTCCCGACAACACCGTCACCCACACCGCCACCGGCGGCAAGCTCGCTGAAGACGTCGTTTCTATCCAATCCACCGACGGTTCGAACCCAGGGCGAAACGTCACGGTTTCGAGATTCCTGTTCTCTTGCGCGCCGAGCTTCCTGCTCCAAGGGCTGGCAAATGGAGTCTCCGGAATGGCGGGCCTTGGCCGGACGAGAATATCTCTCCCGTCGCAGTTTGCTTCCGCGTTCAGCTTCCGCAGGAAGTTCGCTATCTGCCTATCTTCGTCCAAAAACGGCGTCGTTTTCTTTGGCGACGGACCGTACGTTTTCCTCCCCGGAAAACAATTCTCGTCCTTTACATACACTCCGCTCATCCTCAACCCCGTCAGCACCGCCTCCGCCTCATCGCAAGGCGAGCCCTCGTCGGAGTATTTCATCGGAGTAAAGTCGATCAGGATTGGAGAAAACGTCACGGTTTGGGTGAACTCCACGCTTCTTTCTATCAACCAAGAAACAGGCTTCGGAGGGACTAAAATCAGCACCGTGAATCCGTACACCGTTCTAGAATACTCCATTTTCAAGGCCTTAACGGAGACTTTCACTAGAGAAGCCGCCGCGAGGAACATCACGAGTGTCGGCGCCGTCGCTCCGTTCGAGGCGTGCTTCAGCAGAGAGAACATTCTGAGCACTCGCCTAGGGGCGTCAGTGCCGACGATCGAGCTCGTTCTGCAGAATGAGAACACGGTGTGGAGGATTTTCGGGGCCAACTCGATGATTCAAGTGAGCGACGACGTGCTCTGCCTTGCGTTCGTTAATGGCGGCGAAAACCCAAGGACTTCGATCGTGATCGGAGGGTACCAATTGGAGGACAATCTTTTGCAGTTTGATTTGGCAACTTCTAGGTTGGGTTTCAGTTCCACTCTTTTGGGAAGGCAGACTACTTGTGCCAACTTCAACTTCACCTCCAATGCATAGATATATATATATATATATATTATATATGAGAAGTTTAGTTCATCTATTAGAATTATGTGATTAGAATTAATTTTAATTTACGTGTATTTTTTTATGAGAAAAAACACTGTAATAAATCATAAATTATGATTCAAATCATGATTTGAATCCTCCGATCAAACATCCCCATAGTGTTCCGTTTGTCATGATCATTAAATTTCTGCGTAGTCATTAAGGAGTGCCATGCATATATACATCTATATAATAAAAATGTTCATCTTGGAGGTTTTATTTCATGCATTGTGATTACCGGTATAAATACATGATTGGGCAAATCAAGGATCGACAACAAATTTGAAAATTATACGTACGTGCTTATGTCGTTTATGGGTAATCAGCCTAGGCTTTTTTGGGACATTGGGCTTATTGTAGTTTCTTTGGGACCTTGTTGAATGAAAGACTCGTTTTGGGTAGAGAAAAATATGTTTTAAAAACATCGATTGCTAAATCGAACACTTTCAAAGTTTCAGGAGCAATCTAAGTTTTTAAAGCTTCCTTCAAGGGCTTGATTGAAATTTTCAAAGCTTCAGGACCAATCTACGACAAACGACAAAGTGCAGAGAACCTAATCTTAAGCGCTATAGCGCCCATTGTTTAAATGACAAAACAGCATTCAAAGAAAAAAAAAAAAAAATTTTTTAAAAAAAAAAAAAAGAAAAAAAAAAAAAAAAAAAAAAAAAAAACCGACAACATCCCGAGTGATAATTATTTTGATTAAAAAAGAGACAATATATCTTACAAGTTGCAAGTATTATATAGTGGAATTAAAAAAAGCATCAAGATCCATATATATCTACAAGAAAATGATTTAAAAAAAAAAAAAAAACCAGATGGAGTCCAGCTAGCCAACTACGACGTGAGAGAAAAATCAACGAGGACTAGTTTGTTTATCTGTATCACATATATATATATATATATATATAAATGTATATATAACCAGTTCGCATCCAGACTCAAATTTTGACTTGAACATTAGTACTACTGTAACTATGTCTTTGCAGTATGCTCTCTTCTTGCTCTTCCTCACAAGTGCAATCTCATGCTTTTCTCCTTCTTTCCAAACAGCCCTTGTGGCTCCGATTTTCAAGGACAGCTCAACAAAGCTATACACCATCCAAGTTTACCTTAAGACCCCTCTCCAGCGCACCAAATTACATCTGGACCTGGGCTTCTCCTTCACGTGGATCGACTGCTACCGGAACTACAATTCCTCCAGTTACCGCCAAATCCCCTGCTACACGCCACTCTGCAATTTCATTGACTCCTCCGCGTGCAGCAACTGCTACGACGCGCCCGGCCCCGCGTGCGGTAACAACACCTGTGCACTCTTCCCGGAGAACCCCGTGACTCGGAAGGTCACCCTCCACAACGCCCTCGTTGACTCGCTCGCTTTGCCGGAGTTGACTCAGGGCCGACTCGTTCTCATCCCGGACCTCGTCTTCTCATGCTCGGACGCCTCGATCCTCCGTGGCCTCGCCAAGGGGGTCTCTGGTCTGGCGGCTCTCGGCCGGTCCAATTACTCGCTTCCGGCGCAGATTAGCTCCGCCCTCTCTTCTCCCCGTTGTTTTGCACTGTGTTTGACCGGTCAACGATCCCGTGCTGGAGTGGCTATCTTTGGCTCCCGTGGCCCCTACGTGTTCTCTTCTAAGATTGACCTCTCCGGATCGCTTATTTACACTCCGCTCCTTCTTAACCCACTCTCCACCACAGTCATAACCTATATACAGCCGTCATTCGAGTATTTCGTCGGTTTGACTTCAATGACGGTCAACGGTAAGGTGGTGCCACTGAATCAGACGCTTCTGAGCATCGACGATGAGAGTGGCATTGGTGGGACCAAGCTCAGCACAGCAACTCCGTATACCGTGCTTGAGAGCTCCATATACAAAGCATTTACTGTGCTATTTATTAAAGAATCCTCTGCGCTCAACCTCACCGTAACGGAGGCGGTCAAACCATTCAGAGTGTGTTATGCGGCGAAAGATTTAAAAGACACACAAGTGGGACCGGCTTTTCCAAATGTTGACTTTGTGTTCCAAAGTGAAAACGTTTTTTGGAGGATCTATGGAGCCAATTCGATGGTGAGAATGAAAAGGAAGAATGTTGATGTTTGGGATTTATGGATGGCGGGGTCAATCCGAGGACATCGATTGTGATCGGAGGGCATCAGATGGAGGATAATCTTTTGCAATTTGATCTTGAGTGTGGGAGATTGGGGTTCAGTTCTTCAATTTTGGCTCACGATACGACATGTGCAGATTTTAAGTTTGCAACTAAAACTGTTTGAATTGTGTCGTAAATTCAATGTAACGAGTATTGATAAGTGGCTTTCATTATTTTGCTTATATTTTTTAAAATAAATAAGTCTGTTGAATGAATTAGACGCTGAATAAGACGCTTCTAAACATCAATGATGAGAGCGGTGTTGGTGGGAGCAAGCTCAGCACTGCTACTCAGTATATCGTGCTTGAGACCTCCATATACAAAGGATTTACTGAGACATTCATTAAAGAATGCTCTACGTTGAACCCCACTATAACAGAGGCGGTCAGTGCTACGTGGTCAAAGATTTAAAAGATACGTCAGTAGGACCCGCTGTTGCGTTGATCTTGTGATGCAAAGCGATAACATTGTTTGGAGGATTTCCGGAGTCAATTCGACGGTGAGGATTAGTAGGAAGAATGCTGATGTTTGGTGTCACGGATTTTTGGATGGTGGGGTCAAGCCGAGGACATCGATCGTGATCGGAGGACATCAGATGGAGGATAATCTTCTGCAATTTGATATCGAGTCCAAGAGATTGGGGTTCAGTTCTTCAATTTTGACTCACGGAATGAGATGCGCGGACTTCAAGTTCGCAACTAAAACTTTTTGAATTTGTGTCATAAATTCAATGTAACAGATATTGAAATGAAGGGCCATTCATAAAACAAATGCATCCCTTTCTTAATATTGCTTATATTTTAAAATATAAATAATAAGTCATTACGGTGGTGCAAGATATTTTGCTCCACTAAGTATTTTTATTGTTGGATTAATTTTTTATCGGTAAGATCTCCAGTAAGAACATATATGTGTGGCGTGCTGTAAATTTTTAATACGAATCTGTACAACTATGATTGTTAAAAAAACTAATTCAAAGGCTGAAAACACTTACCCCACCGATAGAGCAAGAATAAATAAGGAAGTCTATTAAGGAATTAGTTATTCCCTCGATGCAATAGGCATAATTATGAAAAATCATTCTATTACAAGATGGGTTACCCGTTCCATTCATTTCAAGTAGTTTATCAACCTTTTGATCTCTCTTGAGGTGTTGATACCAAATTTTAAAATTCCTAATCTCAAATTTTAGGTTTTTTTATTTTTTTTTTCTTTGTGTGTGGGCGTTGTTTCCATCTCAAAACTCTAATTATACTCACTACTTGTTTAGTAATTAAAAAGAAAAGGTTTGGAAAAATAAATATTATCCCCATTCAAAAAAAAAAAGAACAATAAATATTAGACTTATTTGGAAATAATATACGTAATCACCATCATTCTATACAAGAAAAAACATGCCAAAGAAAAAGGTAGTCAAAATTGTGGACAAGTATTGCACGATCTATTATTTTCCAAATCAGAAACAACAGACAAACACCAGTTGGTGATCAACGAAAATCTGGAGAAGTTTCGGTCATAAACTCAGAAAACCACACTTACAAGCCTTTTAAAATTAGTTTTTCCGTATAAATTAAAAAATATATATTTATATATATATATATATATATATATACACACACACACACGTATAAACGACGTATAAATGAACAAAGAGACTTGTCGTTGAATCAATAATTTAGAAACCAATTTTGAAAAAGCTAGTGTGTGGTTGAATCAAAATTGTTTATGCTTTTCTCTTTCTTTTTTTTCCACAGCAAAAGGGCGCAATTTTAGGGTTTATGTTTTCAATCATTTATGCAAAAATTATGAGAGTGCCTATCCTTTGAGGTGAAATACAAGATTACTCATCATTTTGTATCTAAAATTTAACAAAATATAAATGAGAGACTATATTTGAGACACTAAAAAGTTCAGAGTTTAAGTTGTCAGTAGAGAAACTAATTCTAAAATTAAAAGTTTAATTTTGGAGAAATAAAAAAAATATAAAAAAAAAAAAAAAAAAAAAAAAAAAAAAAAAAAAAAACAGTTCAGGAACCTCTCAGAAATTTAACTCTAAATTTTATCATTATTTATATAAATGACATGTCTTTACTCGATATATTCTTGTCGTTTTAGAAATAAAAACACAAGCTTGTAGCTCGGTCGTCCATTTTCCTTTGAATAATTAGACATGGCATCGCGGTTTCATTTGTTTAAGCTGTATTTTCACTCATTCCACATCAAACAAACACTAGTGTTTGGAATAATTTTATATGATTTTCCCCTCTTTAACAACCTTAAACTTACATCAGTAGTTGCCATAATTCATGACAAATATTGATGCCCTCCAATCCAATAACGACCGATGTACTCAGTTTTGGTAGCTCACTTGAATTTACTCCCGTCCCTATTCTAGCTAATTTCATTCTTTCCACCTTCGTAATATTGACCACACAACAAGAAGGTAAAGCCTCAGTTTAAACATTACGTGCCACATACACTGGAGAGAATTACGAATAGAACTACCCAGTTAAAAATTCTGTTTTGGAGAAAATAACATTGTTATTTCTTACATCAAATACCACGACTTGAAGCGCAGAGTCAAATCCAAAAACTAAAGGGGTTTTTTTTTTTTTCTTTAAAATGATAAATTTAAACCAAAAGAGTTCCTTCCATCACAGTACAGGCTTTTCCTCGTAGAAGCACTCTCTGGTTTTTCTCATCCAAATGAAGGTTCAAGACTCCTCCTCTTGGTGATGCCTGACGCAATAAACAATAACACGACTTTGCCAAATGTAGATCAAGAGACTATGATTTGTGCATTATAAAGCAGAGATAGAATGATAATGTACTTTATTTTTTTTTCTTTCTCTGTTCTTTTATATATATAGATATATATAAAGAATGATAAAGTACCTGGTATGCAACAAGATCACACTTTCCCAGTTCCTTACTCCAATAAGGTGCCAAGCCACAATGTGCACTCCCACATACAGGATCCTGAAAAACATGCAAAAGAAAAAAAGGGTAACTCAAAATCACAGACAATCCATTAGCTTCCTATTTCACTTGTGTGTTTTTAGTATCTCTTATCATGCTTGTTGATAAACATCACATTCATGTTCTAATTTAAGTGCAGTGCAAATCCATAGTAGATAAATAGATCAGCGGATAATTGACAAGTAGGTCATGATCAAGGGAACATAAGCATGAATGTATGATAAAAACAACCATATGACGAAAATCAGGAGCTTAAAATGAAAGACAAGCTAGTCAATTTACCTCATTGATTCCAAACTTTGGTGCAAAGAACCTGCTGTGAAAATCAAATCCGGACTCCGGTGGAGCGATCCCTGTCACAATTATCCCGCCTCCTGGACATTTTTCTATTGCACCAAAGTCTGGCCTTATTTCTGCAACAGATTTTGCTGATGGGAGCACAACCTGTAAAATATAGAAAAGCTTTGACTTAACATAATATGACCAAAAAAAAAAAAAAAGAAATCCGTTGAAAGACAGAGTATAGAGAAGTTACAATGAGATTCTCTAAATTAGTTGTCTTTCTTATTTTAACCACAGTAGCACCGCCCAAGGCCTTGGAGATCAATGTTTCCTCGGCGGAATTGAATTCGGTGTTTGGATCGGCAGGAAAGTTAAGTTCAATTAAGAAGCCTTTGTGTGCTTCACCATTATGAATATTGGAGCCATCAGCAACCTCATTAACCTCAAGAACTCTTTTAGCAGTTAGAATTCCAGACAGCGTGGCGAATTCAATAATGTCAGAATCTATTTTTCCAGATGTAAATAGAGCATGTGCAGCTGCTACTGTTGCATGCCCACAAAGCTCAACCTGCCAATAAAATGCAAATGGGTATTTGTCTAAAAAGATTTTGCCTATGAGGAACTAATTAAAAGGAAGAATTGGATCTTTGCATTAAATTATCAAATTTCTACTACTATAAAAAGCATGATGATGATGATCAATTGCAAACTATATAGCTAGATGCAAAGGATTAATTACGAAGAAATACATATGAAAACTGAAATCAGAAACTGATATACAACACACTAGTCAAAATTGTAAAAGAAAAGGAACAAATGTCAAAATAGAGAATTCTTTTTATTAAAAAAAATAGAAAATAGTAGTTTTATTGTGAATTTTTAACCAACTAGTCTTACCAAAAAAATTGATTAATTCACAAGAAAAAATGGTTTAGAAGTAAAATTTTGGATTTCTCTTTGTATTGTGTTTGAGTGAAAGAATTACCTCGGCAAGGGGAGTGAACCACCTAAGACGGAACCTAGGAATTACAGAAGACCCATTAGGCGGGTCGTGAGCCTCTGACTCAGTGATTCGACTCACGTAGCACGTCTCGGAGATATTGAACTCAGCAGCCACCGATTGTAGCCATAGATCGTCCCTGTCTTCCTCTAGAAAGCAAACAGCCGCCGGGTTTCCCTTAAACGGTGAGTCGGTGAATGCGTCTACCTGTTTATATATGCAACCAACACAACATCTTTTACTTACGCAACGAACACAACGAATCAACGACAAATACATATATATGTAATATGTGTGTGTATATATATATATATATAGTGAGAGAGAGAGAGAGATAGAGAGAGTACCACAGAGTACTTGACGAGGTTCTTTGCCATGTCTCTGAGAAGTTTGAATAGAGGTTCTTTATCAGAGTCAACGGACGGCTGTGTAGAGTTTGTTCAAGATGTTCATAAATAGGAAATGAGTTAACTTGACTTCTAGTTTCCACCAATTATTATTAACTTTACAACAAGGTGAAATTTATTTATTAAGACCATCGAATCGAATGGAATGTAAATATTAATGATAATTGTATATTTAACATTAAAAGATATAATATAATATGTTAGTTTTATTTTTATTTAATATTAAATATTTTTTTTATAATTATTAAGTTTTAAAAGTTATAAAAATAAACTTTTATTTTTAAAATAATTAAAAAATGTAAAAGTTGTTTTGATTATATAGAAAAGGTAAATATTTTAACCAATAATAATTATATATCAAATTTCGCATATGTTATACTTGATGAGAAATTTGTTACAAAGTATAACATGTGAAAAATTTAGCATAATAAATAGTATTACATCGGAGATGTTCTAAGAATAGGAAAATTGTGTGGGTAGCCTTTTTTAACCACATCTTTTCATAAATGGTAAACTTTTTATTTTACGAAAACAGACGTTTTGTTTACATATGGACCACAGTCAATCAATGATTGACCCACGGTCAATCATGATTGACTGATTCATTATTAATTTATCAATAGTTTATCATTAATAAACATGTAATTTGTTGATTGAAATTGATTAATTAATAATTAATTTTAATTAATTATTAATTAATATTATTAATAATAAAAAATAATCGAGTTAATTAATAATAAACTATGATCAATCATAATTGACTGTTAAGTCAATCAGTGATTGACCGCTGAGTCAATCAATAATTGACCACTAAATTAATAAAAACAATCATTTTTACAATTTTACAAAATTTTGACCATTTATAAAATAAAAAAAAACATCCTTCAAAAAAGCCATGAAATCCCTTAAGAATACTATGAAGACATGTCGGGATGTTCTGTGTTTAATAAAATGAAACGACATGAGATTTGTTCAACGAGACATATCTCTGTCTTTCTAAAATTAAAAGGTAAACAGTACATTCGTCTTAGAAAAAAAAAAAAAGAAAAAAATAGTTTTACTCTAGAAATTTCTGTCGTTTTAATTCGTAAAGCGACATGTACTTTCACTTTAGGAGGGAGCTACATGAAATTTGGTTTCATAAGCAAAAGACGTTTCGAATTTTCATTTGTCAAAAAAAGGGGGAAAAAAACGCGACGAGTAAATTTATCAACTAGCTCATTAGCCAAAAAGAAAAAAAAAACCATAGATATATAGGGGTTGTTCTTTTAAAGTGTAATGAGTGTAATTTTTGAGTTGAATTTGAGTTATAACTTGAGTTGAAGTTAGAAATTGAATAAAGTTAAGTAAAATTGAATAAAGTTAAAACTTAAAAGAACGTGAACTTGAATAAAGTTGAAACTTGAGTTGTCTTTTTTTAAGTTTTATGGACAAAAGAACATGCCCATATTTTTTTTTCTTTTTTGAGGAAAACTAGCTTAATGGTTATTGATATATCATATGCCTTCTATTTTTTCTGGAAAATTGGTGTGTCCTTCAAGAAAAATTTCACATTTAGCTTCATGATCGAAGCTAGCTGTCGTTTAAGGATAAACGTCATATCGTTTTTCTTGGGAGCTTCGCTCAGATATTAATTAATTAACAAATTGACTGTCGTTTCTAATTAAGTTTTATCGTTGTCCATCTAACAAAACACTGCTACACAATACAGGCTTACAACCGGAATTTTGTTGTTGTTTATTTCATTGGACGACTTACTACTTCTAATCTCTAATTTTGTTGTCGTTTATTTTTGAAGTTTTCCTGCTTAAAAACATAAAATATTTGAAAGGACTTCTATGCTGTACTTCAACAGTCCATTTTCCTGTTACAAAGTTTAGGTTTCCTCCACGACATGTCGTCTCCTCAGTTAAATATGTTATTTAAATTATTTTCAATTTCATGGACTTTGAAAAGCAAACTAAGGAATCGTCTCATTCACGGTTTGGTTGTGAAAAAAAAATTAAAATAATTCAAACTAAGAGAGTTCCTTCCATGACAGTAAAGGCTTTTCCGCGTAAAAGCACCCTCTGACTTTGCTCGTCCAAATGAACATTCAACACTCCTCCTCTTGGCGATGCCTGAGCAGATTAAACAATAAACATAATTTATACAAACGTTGGATATCAAAAAAGGGTAAATGAAGAAAATCCTGCGAGGGGAAGAGAGGGGGTTAAAAACAGAAGTACCTGATATGCGACAAAATCGCATTTCCCCAGTTCTTTGCGCCAGTATGATGCCAAGCTACAATGTGCACTTCCTGTAACGGGATCCTGAAAGAGAAGAACACGTGAAAAATAAAGGGTAACTCCTTCATGAATAAGAATTTGTGGCTCTTTTAACTCCTCATTTAAAATAAATAATAATTAAAAAAAAAAAACATTTTAAGTAGCTATCGAATCAATAAACCAAATAACAGCGGAAAATTCCTTTCATCACTTCCCTGCGAGTTCACTTGTCCAATGCAAAATCTTTGATCGTGTGTTTAGTGCACATTTTTGTTTATCATAGTAGAAGGCATCCAAGTAAATGACTATTGGTACTTGGTACAAAACATGCCAACAATAATCCTTGAGGAGTGACCAAAAGAAAGCTCATTACCTCGTTGATTCCAAATTTTGGAGCGAAGAACCTGCTGTAAAAATCAAATCCAGACGCTGGAGGAGCAATCCCTGTCACAATTATACCCTTTCCTGGAAACTTTCCAATTGCATCGAAGTCTGGCCACAAATCTTCAACGGATTTTGCTGATGGGACTACAACCTTGAACAATTCAACAAGAAAAAGTATGTAAGACCGTATCAAAGGCAAGTTTGTTTTAGCACAATGGACAGTTGGAGGAATTACTATGAGGTAATCTAAAGTGGTTGTCCTCTTTATATCAATCACAGGAACACCACCCAAAGCCTTGGAGATCAACGAATCCTCGACAGAATTAAAATCAGTGTTTGGATCAGCGGGAAAGTTCAATTCAATAAAAAAGTCTATTTGTTCTTCATGACCATCAGAACCCTTGTTCTTCGCCGGAACCTTTTCTGCTGTTAAAATTCCAGACAGCGTGTCGAATTCAATAATGTCGGAATCTATTTTCCCGGATGTAAAGAGAGTTTGCGCAGCTGCTATTGTTGCATGTCCGCAGAGCTTAACCTGCCAAAAATTGCAAATTTGCATTTGTCTTTGAGGCTTAAATGACCCTTTAACAATAAAATGAAGTTGCGATGCAAGTGGTTAGTGAAAAGTACGCTATATCCAATCCTTTGAGCTATTAATGTTACAACCCCACATCCACAAGGATAGAGTGTCGTTTAACTAGTTTTTTTTTTTTTTTTTTTTTTTTTTTTAATTGTGTCATCAGTATCAATATCAATATCAATAAAATGAGAAAACGTAATGCAAAAAGAAGAAGAAAAACGGTAACCAGTATTTTCGGTTTACACCCCCCCCCCCAAAGGGAAGGGGGTTTTTTTTTTTTTTTTTTTTTTTTTTTTTTTTTTTTTTTTAAAGAAAAAGAAAACAAAAGTCTTTCTTTACTAGTATGAAACAAATATACATCATGAGAATTTAATCAATCTATAACTACAAGCAAAGATTACTAGGCAAGCAAGCTGAAGACACGAGTAAATAAATTCTGAAACAAGTAACTGGTATGAGTACAAAAAGGGAAAAAAAGGAACAAATTCAAAAAGCAAGAAATCAATGCCCCAAATTAACCAATTTCACCAAAGACCGGGGAAGAAAATTGCAACTATTGTTGCATCATTATCATCATCATTATCATTGTGAATTTTCCCCAGTACACCCAAAATGAGGGATCTTTAAGACAGACCTCAGCAACGGGAGTAAACCACCTAAGACGGAACCTTGGAACGGAAGGCCCATTAGGCGAGTCGCGAGCTTCCGACTCGGCGATTCGAGTCAGATAGCAGGTCTCGGAGATATGGAACTCGGCGGCCACCGATTGCAGCCATTCGTCATCCCTGTCTTCCTCGAGCAAGCATACGGCCGCCTGGTTTCCCTTGAACGGAGAATCGGTGAACGCGTCGACCTATTTGTCGTCAAACTCACCAAGTTAATATTCCTACTTCTATAAGCAACATTCGAACACTAACAGTACGACATAGGAGAGAGAAACCGAGAGAGTACGGGTACGTACCACGGAGTACTTGACGAGCTTCTTTGCCATTTATGAGATGATCCGAAAGAATCTGCAGTTAAGTCAGAGGAACTCCGTGTAGTATAGAGATGAAGAGATAGTGTATGTCAGTATGTGTGTGTACGAGAGTCAACAGCCGCCGCCTGAATTTTTTTTTTTTTTTTTTTTTTTGGTAAAGTTCAATTCAACGACAGTCGTTTCTTTGAAAGAAAATCTTAAGTAAACGACACTGAGTTTTAGTCATACTGTAATTCTGAGTACGCGACATGTCGCGCAGCAGGGAAAGTCGCACACTTGAAATGTTTATATGTCGTTTTGTCATGCAAACGACAACTGACTCCTTAAAAAAGAGGGGGTTTCGTTTAGCTCGTGAACGATAAACGACATGTAATTTCCACGCTTTAGACGATGGTAAATTTTGCAACTTTAACTGCCGTTTGATCGGGAAAACTTCTGAATAGATGACTTTAGAATTGGAAAACATATTAGTCAACAATCAGAACATTTTGAAATGAGGCATATTTATTTAAAAAAAAAAAAAAAAAAAATTTCTATTGCCATGAGAAGGTTTCTTGACAGCCACGAACGACAATAATTTTCTTATCATAATTTCAGCTGTTTTAATCAGATAAAGAACCAGCCAAGATCGCTGGACTTTTTCCAAGTAAAACCCTTAACCTAAAACGTCTTTGAATGTAACTCTCTTGTATTATGTTGTAAAGGAAACAAAAACAATCATAAGATGATGAAAATTCATGCAAAAAAACACTCGGAAATATTTTGCTGAAAATAAAAATGAATTGGACATTGAAATTATTAGTGATTGAGCCTAAACTTCAAATCAACCATCTTTGTTGACTAGAAAGAGACTATAATAAAAATACATAACCATACAACAACGTTTCAAACCTAAACCTACGGGTTAATAAACAAGGTTTATTGAAGACAAACAGCAGGGCAGCCTAATGTATTATTTTATAGAATACATAAATTATCAGCATTCCACTACTTTATTCTATGTAAACACGGAGTGGAAGCTCCTGCCCGAAGGAATTACCAAACACCTTCCTTGGACATTCTTAGGAAATGGGACAGAGTAATACTTGGGATCTCAACACGACTCTTTTTCTTCTTTGTTATTCTGGTTGTCTTCGAAGACTCGGCGTCCTCGGACTGTTTAACCGTCACAGAGGCCAAATTGTAGAACTGCTAACACCACCACATTATTAGATACTGCCAAAAATACTTTCAAGAAGATGAGGTTTCATTTGGATACGGTAATTCTACCTCAGTTTAATTTTCTAGGAGGCTGAACATGTCATCTAGATCAACCGTCCTTTATACCAGTAATGTAAGCATCAAAATACTAGGTTTTTTTTTTCCATGTGATGTTTTTTTAGTAATGTCTTTTTAACTAGTTTGTAATGATATTATGACTCATTATTAACAGCAAATAATCAATAGGAGAATATGAGAGAAAAATTTACCTCACAAACACCATGCAGCAACAATCTATGGAAAGGGTCTTGGACCCGTAGGATGAGAGTTTCCTCTTCTCCACTATCAGTAATGTAAGCCCGTATGCACTCCTGGAAAAGAGAAATTGCATTCTCAATGACACGACAACAGCTAAAAAAGTTTAGTTTAGTTGCAAATAATTTGATGAAAATGTTGGTTGAGATCACTATGGAATGATAATGCTTGTAGTGAATGTGGATATATTTGTTAAACAGGCATACCTCATAGCCCTCAATGAGTTCCAAAAGAGAGCTACGCCGAAGTGCCTCTCTCGTTCGACAATCAACTCTACGCCAAGCGTTCAAGACAGCCATCTTATTGGAATCAACATGATCTTTCCTCTTTGCAGGAGAACTCCTTAGAGCACCCATAATATCTGCCTGCCATAATGATCATAATGAAATTAAGAGTTGAGACAAGTGACCATGTAAATTCCAAAACAAAACATCCAATGTAAAAGCGCAAAACATGTACATATTATAGGTAACAATCAATAACTTCAGGGAATATTTGCATTCTAAATGATATATATACTCAGCACTATATGCAAATCAAGTCCTAACAGCCATGATCAGAACAGAAGAGATCGGCGAGTAAGCGGATCAAAATACCTCTCTGTCCATGTCTATGTTCCTAAATTTGTCCCACTCCCCCCCATTAGTCATGGCAAATGGCGAGGGTGGCACATCATCGCCTGTAAAATCAAAACCAAAATGGAAAATTAAAACCAAAATGGAAAATTAAAAACACATGTCAAAGATCTAGAAGAAATAACAACCAACTATAAAGAGAACGCTGCAAAGTGGATTATGTATGAGCTCAATCCAGCCCATATATCATATAAGATTACATAACTTGAGTCATAACAAATATTGGCCAATTGGGTATTTCTTTAAGTCATGAATTACCCCAAGGTGGTGGAGCAAATAGGCCTCTAATTTCTTCTGCATTCAAACGAGGAACTAGTTCCATCAAAAGGCGATCGTTTAACCACCTACGTGACCGCCTGTTGCTGACCTACCAAAGAAAAGAGGAAATAGTCAATACTTTTAAAAGAATGCATTGCATAATTATCAAAAGGAAAGAGATAAAAAACAGAAGCAATCTCGAATAACAAAGTACAAACAAGTACTTGTTGAAACTATTACAAAGATCAGTATGTATTATTTAAACCACCTAAGACCCACAAATCGCAAATGCAAGTTATGTATCAAATACCAACAAGAAAGATCACAAATTATAGTTAAAAAAAGCTTCCTTGGTTTTCTAAGGTGTCCAAAATTTCCAGACGTTGACTAACATTGCCCACATTAGCACAACCCAAATTCAGTTCTATATTAGTTATCTAAAAAAAAAATAAACAAAAACCGAGTGATACCTTTCCAGCCAAGCTCTCGAGAAACTCTATCTTTTTCTCAATTGACAAGTCAAGGGATTTTGCATTGTCTCCTGGCAAAACCCCGAAAACAAAATGAAAAACTTTTTGAATACTATTTTTCTAATAGCAGCATCAAAGTTGTAAAAAATAAAATAAAATCAAAGCTGAAATGAATTTCAGAATCCAAGTTAATACCGAAACCGAGAAAGTAAAGGCAAATCCAATAAGATCTCAAAGCTTCCCAAGTCCACGATCAACAAAAGGGCAATAAAGCTTGAAACTTTAATTAATTTTCTCCCAGTAACAAGAGAGAAATCTATTGTACGAGCAAAATTAATAGAGATTCTAGTAAAAGTACCCTTTCGAGGATCAAGAAAAGGAGAAGAGAGAAAAAGGTCTTCTTCCCTCTGAAGAACATCAGGAGTCGCCATGATTGAGAGGAAAATAGCTAGATCTGATTCTTTCTGTGCTCGAGTGTTCGACGAAAGTCCGAAATGAAGACCTGAAGCCAAAATCTAACGCCAAACACCGCCTAATAAGAGAAAGAAACCAGAACAAAGAAGAATATACTCTAGTGCGATGCAAATTAAAGGTCAGTTTTTAAGCAAATAAATAAAGAAAAAATAAATATTACTTTATCCTGTATGTAGTGACGTATGCACGGTGGGCCATGCCGTGATGATCACTCAATGACGAGATTGTGACACGTGGAAGAGTTGGCCCACGCTCATCTTTTGCACTTTTTTATTTTTGTTTTATTTTATTTTTATCTGCAACAATTTTGCTCCATAATATAATAAAATAAAATAAACGCTGCATAACTGATAAATATTGTAGAAAAACAATAATTACTGATTTTCAATTATAGGGGGAGTAATACCATTTTTATCAAAAATAATATTAATGAACGTTTAATTCATAAATTTAAAATTATTTTTAATTTATTTATATTTTTTATAAAAAAATATTGTAAAAAAAATAAATTATAATCTAAATTACGACACAATCCACGACTAAAGAAAAAAAACCCCTGTAACTAAACAAACTAGCTGCGCGTCTCTTATCATCTTTTCTAGCAAAGAAAAAAAAAGATTTAGTTATCATTCAGTTAAAAAATTTGAAAATCAGTAATTATTTTTTTCCAAAAAGTAATTAGACAAACACAAAAAATTGTGACACCTGTATTTATTAAAAACTGTCTTGACTGTTTAAATACATATATATTAAAACATTAATGTCCACTGTATTTTTTTTCTTCTGATTCTAGAAAATGTCAGCTAACACAGAGCACTATATATTTTTTTTTTTGGAGAATTATCATAAATAATTTAACTTTAATGAATATATAAAACTACGAACTTCGCCAAATTTATTAGCCTCTTTTATTTTATTTTTTCTTTTTCCGAATAATAGGTTACCCATTGCCCAAGGAACGCCGTCGTCCACTTGAAACAACCACAGGGGTATTATGGACTTTTCAAATCATCGTCTCTCTCCTCCACTTCCTCTGAGCGTCGGCATTACGAGTACGACTATAATACGCATGCGCGCTCCTACTTCACTCGCACCACTCTCTCTCTCTCTCTCTCTCTCGTCGGATTCTGGTCTTGTCTTCCTCGCAAATGAAACCCTAGAATCTCCGAAGCTCGTCGTCTCCACAGCACTATCCTCACTTTCTCAGTAACAGTAGTAAATGCTAAATCTTCTCTCTCTCTCTCTCTTTAATTCCATTTTCAACGGAATAAGTTGTTAACCCATTTATTCATTACTATTTGTTTGTTCTGATTATGGCGTATCATGATTATGGTGAAACATGACTCATGAGTTGCTTGTAGTTGCTATTTGTTGTTCCATTACTTCGGATTTTTTTTTTTTTTTTTTTTTGCCGCAAGTTATATAGATACAATACAAACACAGTTTTTACAGGTATGGGTTTTTTTGGAACAATTGTACGCTCATTTTCTTTAGTTTTAGCAACCAAATAAGAAACCATTTCTAATGTAGTTGACATCATTTTTCTTTTGTCTGTGACTAGTTAGAGTTGAAGAAGTTTTTGGTGTGACTATAATTATGGAGGGGCAAAGCAGTAGCCATAACAATCCTATGCAAGTGATGCCATTTAATGTCGGCAATGATGTTTCTCATGTGGGTGAGGATGTTCAAAGCCAACGCATTCTCATGGCATCTGGAAGGAATTGGGGCCATAATGATATTTCTGTGAATGTACCTTGGTGGATTAATCAACCCCAAGAAGCGTCTCACAACTATGTCAAGTTTCTAGCAGAGAGCTCTGCATTTCTTCAGATGAATAATAATAATAATCCTTCTGAGGATATGATGATGTTGGAGAGCCTCTCCTTACCTGTTAGTGGGACATATGCTGTTTCTGGGGTCTCTGATTTCCAAATAGATATGTCTTACAACCACCTGGGACAGGCTTGTGACTCTACTAGATCTACTGAAATTGATGCTTGGCAGGTAAAGGATGATACTACTGACTACCATGAATGAAATTAGATTGTCTGTTCTTTTGTTGCGGTTAAGAGATTCGATAGAAGCTATGCAAGTATTTGGTTAGATTAATTTGTTCTGCGTCTCTCGAAATGTATGTAGTATTTCAAAATGTTGATAATTCTTGGCACTTTATCTAAGCAGTCAAGACTTCTGATGCCGCACAATGAAAATACGGACATCAAATTCACAAGTGCTCAACATCAGATCCATGCTCAAGTAAATTCTCTCAATTTGGTTTTTGACTTGCATATTCAACTCATGAGATTGTCGCCTCAACATATTCATTTCAATTTACATGTTCATAGTCATTCAACTTTAGTTTTGTCCCCTTTTTTAAAAAACATTTTTCACAAGGAAACCAAAATAAATAATAGGGTCGCTACAACTTTCTCGATATATATACATTCCTTGTTCTCATATGCGTTGATTCTGGCAACAGGATCATGCTTACTGGACGCAAATCTCAAATGGGGACAGCTATAATAACGTTTCTCGAGCTGATATTCCAAGAACTGCAAGAGTTGCTTCACCTAAGTCTCTGTCCCAACCCCATTCCTGTGCATCAAAACCAAAAACCAACACAACTGATCGTGTAAGCCAAATGCCTTGGTAGAAACTACTATTTGACATGCTTATGACACTGCCTCCATAACTGAAGTGGTCAAGATTTGGATCACGTATACATCAATTGCAAACAGATATTTCCACCATTTATCGGTTTGTTTAGCAAAACAAAATTTAACAAGTTATTATGGTTGGATAGTCCTACACAGTTTCTTGCACGGATGTTGGTTACTTAACTAAGTGTTTTCTAAAGCAGCAACGCAGGATGCGAATCTCTGACAGACTTAGCTCATTGCAAGAACTGCTCCCAAGTTCTGTGGAGGTAGTAAATCTACATGTAAAGTTTAGATGTGTAGCAATTCAATTTGAAGACTAGTCCTTGAACCTTTCCCGAAATGCCTTTTGATATTTTGTGGTCTTTGATTTTCCCTTATCTGATGTATGTACCTCCTATATCATGGGAGTCCGCTGTACATTTGAATCCAATAATATTATGTTGCGATCAGTTTTTGTTTTTTTCATTTTTCATTTTTCATTTTTTTCATTTTTCAGGGCTGTCAACTATCTATACTGGATGATGTCATTGACCATGTCAAAAGTTTGCAGCTACAAATAAAGGTGGGCCTTCCCTTTTTTTTTTTCCTTCTCTTTCCTTCTTGCTTTTTGGGTTCAGAGACATCCTTGTAAATACCAACATCCTCCATTGGCAGCTTTACTTGTTAAAATCCTATGTTTCATAGCAGTGCAATTGAAATTTAATTAATCAACAAAAAATAAAAGAGTGAAATTTAGACTTGATTTGGAAGTTTTTTATCCGTCCATTTGGAATTATAGTGGTACGTATTTGTGTTCAGGAAATCGTTTTATATTTGCAGGATATATGCAGAAGCAGATTGGAAGGTGAATCAGAAACTGAGGCCATCATTTTCCGCGAGGTGCTTTTGAATACCCTGCAAACGAGACTTTTTTTTTTCTTTTCTTTTTTGGGATCAAACTAAATCGTCTTTGGGAAAGTTTATAATTGAATTTGTCTTTTTAAAAATTTTCAATTTTTTGTTCTAATTTACAGGGATTTGGTCACTACCTCGGTGAGCAACAGATGTCGAATGAACCTCTTGAAGAGATGATAGGGAAATTGCTGGAGCTAAATCCACTGGATGCTATCCAGCTGCTGGAGATGAAGGGTCTTCTTCTCATGCCCATTGAATTCACAAAAGGATTAGTCTGAGGCTGAGCCACATCTAGGCACACCCACATTTTTATCATCATGCTTCTCTTTTCCTTGGTTTCTTACCAGAAACTTGCATAACAAAGTCTACCAACTCTTTTACACTGATATGAGTTCCCCAATATATTGAGAAAGATAAAAAAATATCCCAGATTTTGTTCTTGTTTTCTCCACAATTTTGCATCTAATTGGCCATGAGGCAGGCATATGGGAAGCAAGTCAAAACTGCTTGCTGCTTTGGCTTGTAGAAATATGCAGACAAACAATGCTTGTCATGCCTAAAAAGGGATAACCTTCAAAAGTGTTATTATTATTTCATCTTTTCTATTTCTATCGCGGAGTTTCTTGCACAACTTTTTTAATTTACTTGAATGGAATTGAAGTCTAGAAGAACACATCAGTGCAAGCATTTTTTACATCAGTCAAGGCAAATAAATTAGGAGATGCCAATCGAAAAGTATGCAATAGAAGATGAAAATTACTATTTCCTTTTTGGATAAATATAAGGTAGATGAACAAAAAAAAAACAAAAAAACAAAACAAAAAAAAGAGGAAGGAGATAGGACTGCTAGATATATACAATCTCTTTTGCTCATTAATTTTCTTTATTTCCTAACTTCGTCCACATCCAAAGCTAAGCAACTGTATGGTGTAAAGAGGTGAAAATAAAGAATTTACATATAAAAGGGGGAAAAAAAAGGAGGGATTATTTCTCCTGAGATTCTTCCAACGTGTCTATTTTGATGATGAGAGGCTTTTGAAGGTCCACGCCCGAATTCGACACAATTGGCAACATCGATGGGGACAAGATGCCTTCTATTTCAGCGTTTTCGGCAAGTGCTTTCTCCAGAGAAGCCTTGGCCAATTTGGTAATGCAAAAGAGTAGAATCACTGAGGCACAAAACAAGAACAAGAAGGACCGAAATTATTGCACGGTAGAGCATGACAAGGAAAAGAAATCCTATGCTTAGTCTCTATGTTGGACAAAAAGTTGGCTTTCTAACAACTGAAACGCTAATCTACTAGGAATGGTCCTGAATAAACAGTTCATAGGCAGACTTGACCAAATTAACAAGCATGCTGATATGAACTAACAACACTATAATTAAAGGAAACTTACTGGATATCCCGAATCCTAATGCTATAAATGCCTGCAACCACAATGAAATACGCGATGACAATCAGATTGAACCTCTATAGTTGAAAGAAACAAAGAGATAGAAATAAAACAAAACCACCACAAAAAAAAAAAAAAAAAAGAGCAAAAGAGAAGTTCGAACTTACCCAATTAGTTGTTGACATCTCGCTCCATCGATGTGCTACATCTGAGAGATCCTTGAGAGTTGTTCCAACATACACTAGGGCAAATGTTATGGGCTGCAGTAAGAAACAGAAGCAATTGTCATCAAAACATATAATTAGCCATGACTCATCATGCAATAAAGGAAGACAATTAGAAAGTATTCAGACGTGTTTTATGATTGACCGAATGGATCATAAACAATGGAGTCAATAAATAAACAAAGAAAAGAAGAATAAAACATCATCTGCCAGTCAATAAGTATATACCATCATCCCTAACCAAGATGCCAGCACATATTCCCCTATCCGAATAGGAGTCACAGACAGGAGGTAGTTCAACATGTTAAATGGAAGCAAAGGAACAAGCCGAAGCAGTAGAACTATCTGTAAGATAAACTCATTTAAATAAGAAAAAATTAATAAAAAACTCGTCCCTCTGCATAGAAGAGATGCATATATATGAGATGCAGCAAAGAAAATAAAAGGGATATTCACCTTTTTATACCTTGTGTTTTGGATTTATTCAAAACTATACTTTCAGTTTTTGATCTCATTAAATGTGTGCCTTCAAATTAGATTTAATACCCAAATTTATACCTTTTCACAGCCAACCATTTTAACCTTGGAAATACCTAAAATACCCTTGAATAAAAAAATAAAAAATAAAAACTAAAAAAACCTTGAACTTACAGTTTTGACTTCAAAAATAAACAAAATACCATTGAAATGGATCTTTTTAGCGTTTTAAATTTTTATTGTTTGTAATGTTGGAAAGTTGTATTTCTTTTCTCTTTTTTTTTGGGATAGTTGTCATTTTAAAGGTTAAAATCAATTATTGACCGAAATGAGGTATAGATTCATATATTAAATCTAATTTAAAGGTATACATTTGATGAGATTAAAAACTGAATGTATACATTTTGAATAAACCTAAAACACAGGGTATAAAAATGTAAATATACCAAAATAAAATGAAGTAAAGTTATTTTTAGATATAATAATTACAACAATAAAATATGAAATCTAAGCTCCCAAATTCAAATATAACTTATGCCTTAAAGCCAGATCTCTGAATTGCAATGGCAACAGCTTGAAACTTCGGATAGTTCTTTAACTTGGAGATAACATATGATCTTCCAATCTGCACCCAAAAAAATAAATAAAAACTAAAGTTAAAGTACTTATTCTAGTTTCTCCCAGTCCAAGACGAATAGAATTAGTTTATTATGATCAATGGTTGAGTTCAAGTATATTGGTAAAAAAGGTATTCTTTTTTGGCTTATATCAAAAGAAAGTGCACCATCCATAAAAACAAGAACTAATAAAACCACAGGTCTACAAGACTCACTGTTCTACCGAGAACAAATGCAGCTGTAGCACCGATTGTTGCACCAATAGAATCGGCAATAAACCCCACAGGCAATCCAAAAAGATAGCCTCCACCAAGCTGGAAGAGAAAAGGAAAAGAAAATTTATATTGGTTTCACTGTCAAAACTACAAAATTAAGTTGATACTACGGTACCATACAGATATAACATACTTATGTTAAAAAAAACTACAAAACTTAAAAAATAATGTGAATGTTCCAGCTCTGAGGCAATCTTAGATGGCTGTAATGAAGGGAAACTCATGATGAAATGATATTAGAGACTAGCCTAAAGCATCAACAGAAACCCTATGTAGCCTACCGTAAGTACTGAAGCTGGAACTGCTAGGATCGTAAGAGGAATGTATGCAATGGCCCTGCAATTTCCAGGAAAGTGAGTTAGAGACATACATGCCTGGAACTCAAAACGGAAGAAAGTGTAAAACACGAGGTAATTGGACCATCGCACAAATTAAGCAAAGCCTCTTTTAACTAAGGGAGGACCTTCCTTACTCATGATCTTATATAGTAATATACAAATTACAAATAAATTAATAGGATAATGCATGAAGATGCAAGGGAGAAACGCTGATATAAAACCACATATATTACTTCTGCAATTGCCAATTAGGAGCAAAATTATTTGGAAACTAACTAAATTCAGGTCATAAAGAATGCTTACAAGACAAGGGGACCCCAAGGTCCAAGATCCTGCTTAACCCATATCAAGAAATCCTTCAATATCTGCATAGAACCATCTTTTTAAGCATCACAAGAAAGTAACTGATAATATTAACGGAATAAAATCAAAAAAATAATTAAAAAAAATCTTCAGGTGACAGAGGGAACCGCAACAGCAAAAGATATATAAACTCATCTAAGTGTTTCCGTCTGAGGAAGGCAGCAAGTAAATTAAGATTACATGCTTTTCTACTATCCTTGAACTAATTTAGGTGCTTTTATCTTTGGCGGTTCAATATTCGAAATTGTGAATACTGTAATTCCTGAGATTCACTCAAAAATGCTTCTTTAACAAAAAAAAAGGCCAGCAGGGAAAATAGTACCACGCAGTAGCATGTCAAAAACTTTCCTAACAGTTTTTCGGAAAAGGAATTTCTGAAAAAAAAGAACCTGGCATTCTAAAAACAAATTACAGCTGAAAATAATACGGATGTGTGTGTGTGTGTGTGTGTAGAAACATATATGAGGTCCTCTATTATATATTTCTGAAGGTTAAAGAGCATCCTCTCATGCGCAATTCACATTCTCTGTCTTTAAATCTCAATTTGATTTCCTTAAAACATGGAAATCTTCCAGCTTCTGCTAATTCTTAAGAATATACAAAGCACGTTCACAATCACAAATACATAAATTCAGCACTACGCAGTGCCATCAATACCGATTCTTGTCACAACAATGAAATACGAAACTAAAGAAGCTCCTCCAACGAATCAAAATCCAACATTTCTTTTAGCATAGAAAAGCATTTTGGGAACAATGAATTGAAAACCTAATTAAAGATAAACATCCGACTACATTTCCAATTCCACATAATCCTATGAATATTTCTTCATTTACATTATATATATATATATATATAGTGTGTGTGTGTGTCTATATATATATATATATATATATATATATAGAGAGAGAGAGAGAGAGAGAGAGATGGACCGGTCGGTGCCTTTTCAATTGGGAGGAAAATGCAGGCGGTGGCAATGGCGGCGAGGAGTAGAAAAAGAAGAGCGAATCTGGAGGCGGAGGAGCAAGTGAGCTTGAGCGCCATTACCGACGACAAGAATCTCCGAGAGCAAGGCCTCAAGTGGCCGTCGTCGTCTTCGTCATCGCCGTAATCACCGATCCAACCTTGCCTCAACGACGACCGTGCCCTCAAACCCTCTGCGTTTGCCAGATTTACCTCCTCTCTCTCTCTTCTTTCTCTCTCTAAATTACTAATGTAAAATTTCTTTTTTCTCTTTTTCTGAGATTAATTAGCATTAGCCACGGCCCACTAATATCGTTGTAAGTCGGCGACTTTTATTCCTGCGTTTTGACTCTGTCGATCTGAAGGGTCGATTTCCAGCCACGTTGAAAATTTGTTGACTGCCATTTTAATCGGACGGTAAATATTTTCACGTTGACTTTACGTTTCTGTTAATTAACTTATACGAGTGTTCATATAAATTTGTGTGCGTCTCCAATGACTCTCCACTCTCCGTCGATGCTGACGTGTTCACTTGACTGGGGAACCCACTTTTCCCGCCTTAAATGGTACCCGACCCAAGCCCAAGCCTGGCGCATTACTCATTTCTGTTTTGAGAACTTTCAGCCCACAAACTAAACCCACTTATTAAAACAGTGGACCCAATCCAAAAGGCACTTGAAGGAGAAAGCCCACGTATAAGTCTGAAAAGCAAATATTACGCTACATAGCATATTTTAAAGAAAGCAATTGAAATATAATATTTTCAAAAATATTTTTGTAAGGCATTTTAATTTCTTTTACTATATTCTTAAACGACTATTAAGATGATGTTATCTGAGGAAATTTAAACTCAAAACAAGTAGACCTCATTTATTTCACTGATTCGAGTTGCTACAGTAAAAAGTTTTCAAAAATAATCACATCTAATTTTTTTACTACAGTAAAAAGCTCTCACATAAATTCGTGTCTCAACTAGAATTAAAAACTTAAATCAACAAACTAAACGGACCCGTAATAACCTACCATTTAAGCTAAATGGACCTGAGTGATTTAAAAAAGAAGAAGGAAGAATTAGAGAAAATACCACTTAAAGAGTTTTTCATTTGATAATTAATACACTTAAATAGTTGGTATCCGAATAATAGTTTTTTTTTTTAAGGGAATAATAGACTTTTTTTTACAAGATTTATGTATAATTTTTTTTGTAAAAACAGTATGTTGAATAACTACAGTTCACAACATACATGTAACCATAAAGGGTACAACAGAATGTAGAGTAAGAAGAATGAAGAGAGTTAAATAGATAGAGAGTAAGAATGATAGATAGGATTGTAGTAATTTTTTATATTGTTTGGTAGGATGGAGGGAAAATTAAAAGGATATATGAAAATTTTTTGTTAAATTACTATATTGTTCATTTAAATTTTTTGTTAATAATTTAATCAGATGGTAAAATAGTCTTTTAAAACTAAAAGTTGATGTATTGCTTGGATCCTTTCATTGATGGAAAGATCCAATTTGGTGGGCTAGAGGACACCCCTCTACCTCTCCTCTCCCTCCAACTAAACAAGAGATTAGACCTCTCCCTCCACTCCTCTTCATCCCTCCATCTCTCTCTCCTAAAATCTTTTAAGAGAATGAGAAATATTAGTGTCACTCTTTTGTCATTATCTACATTTACTGTCTATTATGTGAATTTTATTATCTCATTTTTTATTTAAATAATAATATATATAATGTTAATAAAGTTAAAATACCAAATGATAAATAAAATGAGTGACAAAAAAGTGACTTTAGGATTATTCTTCAGGGGAAAAAAAAAAGGCAACATGGTGGATACCAAAAGAAAAAGTGATACGCGTCCTAATTTGAAAAGGATAGAGAGCGATTAGTGATTGAGAATGACAGAAACGAATTCATCCACAGGATGGGCTTGCATTTGTTTATTAAGAATCACACACTCGTGGATTTGTCTTATTTTGTATACGTCTATTCAACACGTGTGTTACACTTTCACAATGTCATTTCACATATTCAGCAATAACGGGACAAATTTGTCGCCAAAAATCTTTGAACAAATTTTTTTTTTTTTTTTTTTAAATGCCCAAGTCCGAATTGGCGAACCATTTTCACTGGAGATTTCAAGTTAGTATTTTTTCCTTTAGGTTAATTTCACAAATAATTTTTAAAGTTTGATCTTAATCGTATTTTAATTCCTAACTTTTAAAACGTCTCATAATCGTTCACTGAGATTTTATTTTGTTTCAGTTTCGGTCATTTTGTTAGCTAAACGTTAAATATTTGATGTAAAAATTAGAGATCAAAACTGAAAACATTTAAAATTTAGAGACTAAAACAATACAAAAACTAAAACTTAATTTCCACAAATAGTCCCTAAGACTTAGTTGTTTTCAATTTTAGTATTTAATTTACACATATTTCATTAAATAGTTAACAGAATGACTAAAACTGAAACATGATAAAATCTCAGAGACTAACGCAAAGGAATTGGATTTTCCATTACTAACGCAAAGGAGGGTTTGAAAGCCGGTCAAACATATTACCAGACTGGCGAGCTAAAAATAATGTACACAAGACCAAAAGTTAAGTTGCATTGTTTTTTATGCCTATTTGATGCTTGGGGATCTTAATAATGTGGTCCTTGTATTGGACGTTTCGTTCGTGTATTTAGAATCATGATTCAGAACTATTATCAATTTACGTGTATTTTTTATGAGAGAAAATAATGTAGCGAACTACGAATCATAATTCGAATCATAGCACGAATTCACCAACCAAACGCAAACTCAAAATAGGGACTTTTTTTAGTAGCCCCGCAAAAAAAAAAAAAAGGGATTACGGGTAGGTTTTATTTTATTTTTTATTGTTTTATTTTATTTTATTTTTGCTTCATCCCAAGTGTTATTAATTTCAAAGTGAAATAGTTATACTCGTTGATGTGAAACTCAATAGTCAACTTATGGGGAATAAGAATGTATCGCAAAAATATAATTACATGCCCTTTAAGGATTCTAATTAAAGCGATTGTCAGTATTGTTAATTTCTAGCTTATGATTGAAATAGGCCTTTTTTAGGATGTTGTTATACAGTACAGAGTTCACTTTGATCTACGGTCACTAATAATAAACCGTCCCGTGTTTTTAACAGCCATCTAGTTTACATCTAAGGTTACTTTCTACAAATCAAACACAATCTTTTAAGGTAATTTAGCACCTAAACTTGCCAGATTTGCTATGGTACAAGTTTCTCCTCACATGTTTATCTTAAATCGGACAGCTGAGAATACGTTTATTTTTTGTTAATAGTTGATACATAAAGATTTATCTACTAATTTGTCAGGACAAAAGGGAAAAACATGTGTCATGTGACCAAAAAGTCCTTGATCACATGCTATGTAGGATTAAAAAAAATTGTATGTTTTTTGAATATATTAAGCTCCGTTCATTTTACCAGTAAAAAACTCTCAGAAACAGTCACATATAACTTTTTTACTACAGTAAAAATCTCTCACATAAAGTCACATCTCAACTCGAATTAAAAACTCGAATCAGCGAACTAAACGGGTCATTAATATTACAGTTAAAAAGACGTTTCAATTCATACTCCACAGTAAAAAAATTTTTTTTTTTTTTGAACGGTAACATGCAACTTGTATTAAATGTACGATAATGTGAAAAATTTAGCGTACACTAGACTTGCATAAAATACAAGTGTAAGGAATTCAGTTGAAGGAAAAAAAAAAAAAAAAATACCGTCCAATCGGCAACATATACCGCAAAAAAAATACCACTAATTCCTAATGCATAAGGACGTACGGCTAGTTCAAAATTTCAATGCTCATCTAAAATTTTTGACTTTGAAAGACCCGTTTAAAAATAATGGGGGCTAATCAATCAATCATCATTCCAATCATTTTTTCTTTTCACAGGGAATCGTTTCAATCCTTATCTTTCTACTTTTGGAATCACGTCAAAAAACGACCCGCCAATAATAAATCAATAATTTTGCAATCAGGTGAGGCCATATTTGTTCGGCCAGCTGTAAGCTATGGCTCCCTCTCCATTGGCTCAAATAATTGAAAAATACAACCGAACCCCAGTTTGTACTTTTATGTGAAATGATTAAGGATGTGAGATTAAGCGGCTCGGTCCAGGTGCAGAAGATGGAAAAGTCGGAACTTCTCACTTCTCTTCTTATCGGTGCACAATGATTTAAATAATTACACTACTGTTTGATTGACGACGACGACGATGATGATGATTATGTTTTTTCTATCTTTTTCTTTTTAATCATCAGCCCGTCAATAGCCCCCTCATGATTCATTTTTAACTGAATTCGCGGAAGCGTGATTTTAGCACTTTGAGGAATTAGGCAATTTATGGATCACGATGATGAAACAAGGTTCCAAACTTCATCTCCTGAATGAACTGACTCATGACGTGATATATGTAATAGAGAAAGTTTTGGAGGAAAAAAACTGTAGAGTACAAGTCTTCTGCACGTCTTGTCTACTTTTCTCGCTTTTTGTACCTTATTTTGCCGACTGCAACTAGTTCGAACTATTCCCGCTTCAAGATTATCATCTTTTCAGCAGCCAAAACTAGTAGTTGCTACTTTAATTTTGGTTTAAGAGATAATCACCATTGATTAATGTGTAATTTCTCGCTATTATTTTCTTTCATCGCCGCTGTAAGTATAGTATGAATGAAAATTGAACTCCTTGTAATGACGTCATCGGCTCATATATTACACTAATGATCATTTATGCAATCTTAATTCTTAAATTGACTGTTATGTTCTTGAAAAAATGTCACGTGCATTGCACTCGCGAGTGTCGCAAGTGCACCGCCTGGACCATTCGTCCTCGTGAGTCTCGCTGTCGAACCAAGAAACCATCGTCGCAAATACGCACTCAAGAGTGCCTTCGTGTGATGTTTGTGCCTTTTCAATTATCTTGAATTTATGGCACGTTATATTCCTATTTGTTTTACTAAGGAGTATGTTTTGCATGCGTACGTTTTAAATTTTGAAAAATCAATGTCCGAGAAATTTGTCCAATAGTAACAAATGGAGCCTCCACAGGTTGACATCCAATCCAACCTAGTAGTAAGCAATCCGCCAAAAGTAACCAAAATATTCCTTGGTGAATAGGGCGAAAACTTGAACTACGTACATACATATTTTTAAAAAAAAAGATAAAGTCAACAGACATATAAAAATTGGTGCTATTACGGCTACACCTCCCGTTTTGTCAGGTATACTACGAAGAATGGCATGGATCGGTAGGAAATACCATTCCGGCACAATATGAGGCTTATGTATTTAGAGTAATGATTTATGTAACCTTAGTTCTTAAATAATTATTACATTCTTGAAAAATGTTATTTACACTCACGAGTGTCGCAAGTCCATCATCTGGGACCCATAAACACTTAAATGACCGTTCCTCGCCGTTGAACTTATAAAAACCATTGACCGAGATCTGCCCTTCTGGGTCCCTTTATTGACTATTTGGTTTTTTTTTTTTTTTTTTTTTTTTTTTTTTTTTTTTTTTTTTTCAGCTATCTTGAATATATGGCTTGTATTATTTGTATTTGCTGTATGAAGAATCCTTTTTTTGCAACTTCTCAAGCCATAAAAGAAGGGGTCATAATGGAAGACAAAGGGAATTAAAAGTGTTATGCTGCACTAAATTTTTTATTTATGATAATCTATCAAAGTTTATGAGCATCACTTTTTCGTTTTCTAGAGAAGGAGGTCTGATGAAGTGCTATAATGTTCTATTACCTTATCAAAACAAGTGAAATGACTACTAATGACTAATGAGCCATATTTAGGGGGGAAGTAAATGAATTATCCCTCTAGAGCCAATGAAAATTCTTCCGTACACGTACCTTTTATTGTATATTTTATCTTTCCCAAACTCTCTTTTACAAATGATTAGCTTAATGAAGTGGAAGGAAAATTTTAGTAACTACTAAAAAGAATTTGGTTCATGGATGCCCAAATTCAAGGCCAAGACAGTTTTTTTTTATTAACCCACTTGCAAGAAGGAATCGGATCTTTGTTTTTCAAAGGCGCTATATGTACAGTTGACTCCAATTAGCGTAACGATCAGTTGTCGTTTTAAGAATCTTAATCACAAAATGTATATTGAAAGAACATTTTTCTTTTTTTTTTTGTTGTTTGGGGGGGTACTGGCCTTGCAAATTGTAATTGACTAAAGAAAAGCATATTGATTTTGACTTGTGAATTAACATGTATGGTAACCTTTCCCTTACACGAAGCACTTTTATGTCATTTTTCGAACTTCCAAACTCGTGTTACTTATAAGTAAGCAGTACTAAAGGGCGTGAAATTCTTGTTTATTGGTTTAGATGCAGAGTTTTGTTTTCAGTGCGCCTTTCATTGAAATGGTGAAATACCCTGCCAACAAATGAATGAGAGACAAACTATGTGTTTGGTTGGTGGATTCGTGTCATAGTTCGGATCATAATCCGTGACTCGCTACAGTGTCTTCTTTAACAAAAAATACACGTAAGTCGAGAATGATTCTGAATCTATGAATCAAACGTCGTGAAAATTTTTGAAACAGAACAATAACATAATTAAAAGAGAAAGCCCAATATGTTTTCCTTTTTCTTAAAGGAAAAAAAAAAAGCAAAAAGAAGTCATATTCTAATGCAAATTGTTATAAGAACTCATCCAACACAGAAATACCAAAAACCACTGAACTAAAGAACCTTTTTTTTTTCTGCCCATCCCTTTCTTGACCCTTCCATGTTGATGGACAGTCCGGAAATTCTTTTAAGAACAATTTATAAAAGAGCGCGAACAGAGGCCTCACAGGACCATAAATATATCATCAAGCTATATAAAACAAAGAAATCAAACCTTTTTTTTTCCCCCCCCAAAAGGAATAATTGTATTTATACTCTTCCCTTTCGTAGTTGACCGTAAAAAACTGTGACCCCCATTTCTTCTTGCCCCCACTTTTTTTTTTTTTTGACAAATGACAACGAAAGTGATCTCCACACCACTCGACACATTTAGCATTTCGCTTATAAATACTTCACTTCACCATGCTATTTGTGTGTATGCAGCTTCCTGAACTTTTCTTTCTTTTAAACAAAAATACACTTTGTTTGCTTCTCATTTATATGACCCTTTCGTATCCTAGTTTTCATCAATAAAAGGCAACTTATAAAGAGTACGGCACTTGCTGTCTAGAGCAGAACATCTTAAAAACAAACTCTTTCAGTTTGCCGCGTCCAACAAATCTTTATACACTAACAAGGTGAGTGTGTACTAACTTTATAACTTGAATAACTGAGTTCTCGGTGGGCTTTAAAAAAAAAAAAAAAAAGTGCGTGTATTTACCGTTATGTTTATCACCCGGTCACCTTGTTCGTTTTTGGAGAAATGACCTAATTTACCTTTTTATCATTTAATACAGGTTACTTCAACATGATGTCAATTTGCAAACAACTTCAACCGACCGTACATATCCCGCCATGTGGGCTGAACCTAGAAGCCTTCAACTCCCGGCGTCAGACGAACAAAGTGGTAATCGTAATGGGAGCGACGGGGACCGGAAAGTCGAGGCTTTCGGTCGACCTGGCGACCCGTTTCCATGCGGAGATCGTTAACTCGGACAAAATGCAAGTCTACGAAGGCTTGGAAATCACGACGAACAAGATCACCAAGGAAGAGCAGTGCGGCGTGCCGCACCATTTGCTTGGGGCGGTGCAGAACCCGAATGCGGATTTCAGCGCCGACGACTTCTCCGACGCGGCCTCGATCGCGATCGAGTCGATCGTCGACCACGGCAGGCTCCCGATCATCGCGGGAGGCTCCAACTCTTACATCGAACACCTGGTGGACGTCCTGGACTACAGCTTCAGAGCAAAGTACGAGTGCTGCTTCCTCTGGGTGGACGTTTCGATGCCGGTACTCCACCCGTACGTTTCGAAACGCGTCGACGAAATGGTCCGAAACGGGATGGTGGAGGAAGTGAGAAAAATGTTCGATCCGAACGCGAGCTATTCCAAGGGGATCAGGAGGGCGATCGGGGTACCGGAATTTGACAGGTATTTCAGAGACGAAAAGCTCTACGACGAGAAAACTAGGGCTAGGGTTTTGCAAGAAGCCATTAACGAGATCAAGGACAACACTTGTAAGCTGGCGTGTCGACAATTGGGGAAAATCCACCGCCTCAGGAACAGGGATGGATGGACCCTACACCGCCTTGACGCGACGGAGGTTTACCGAAGGCGGGGGAATGAGGCGGAGCAGGCGTGGAAGAGACACGTGGCGGCGCCCAGCGCCGCCATAGTCGATGAATTTCTAAGGAGTTTTGCGCCGGCGGTGAAACGTCACGCCATGAGAGTGCCGGCGATGGCTGCAGCTGCGTCTCATTAGACAAACAAACCTTAATGCGTTTGGACAGTAAAAACTCGAATTAAAAACTCGGAAGGACTCTAAATTTTTGGTATCAAAGCCTATTTATTATGTACTTTTTCTTTTTTTAATGTAAAATAATAACTGACCATTTGTGGAGATATCTTTTTGTCTCTATTTTTTTTCTTCTTAAATTTAAAATAAGGGTCTTTTTCCTTTTTCTTCTCTCGAGAAATAAGGGTCTTTTTTCATATATCATGTCTTTCGTGATTAGCAGCCATATTTCCAAATCAAATAATAGTAAAAATTTTATTTGGTGGATGAATAGAATGTAGAGTGAGGAAAGTGCTAATTTTTTAATTGGTGGATATGTTATAACGGGTGAATTTAAGAGAATTTGTTAATTAATTACGAATTTTTATGGTGCAAGATTTACTATTCATTAATATCTTTTTAATTAATATATTTTTTAGCGGGAGAGTATTAATTAAATGTAAAGGGTAAAAGTCTAAGACTCATATATTTTAAAAAGTATTTGTTTACCTTTCTCTTATAATAAGCATAACTAACTAACTTTATAGTAACTGACAAAATAATGATTAGACGGAAAAGTTTAGCCAGTTAAAAATTCTTGTATTACATGGTATTATTATAAGCAAATCAATGATTAGCTTCTATAAGAAAATAAATAAAACACAAATTGATAATTAGAGGAGAAAGTTTGGCCAGTTAGAAGTCCTTGGAATGCATGAGATTATTGCAAGCATAGCTAACTTTACATTGACCAACAAATTAACGATCAATTATTATAGAAAAAAAAAAATTGAACAGGTTAAACTGCACGTGCACTATTTCTTCAGATCACTGTTATTTTAATTTCCTTCTTTGTACTTTTGTCACTTGATATATTATTAAAGACTTAATTCCAACTCCAATCATTAGAAGTATTTTTACTGTTAGAGTCAATGCGCTCTTTAACAAACAATACAAACGAGCGCTCTTTAACAAACAATATAAAAGAATGCTCTTTTGTTATACACACACATCCACACATATATATATATATATATATATATCAACGAATTTTCAATATATATACGTATATTATTAATGGGATATTGGACTTTCCCGGAACTTAATGTAATTTAATAAATTATTTTTAAAATTTTTGAATTTTGACAAATAACATTTTAAATTACTCAACTCATAACAATGCGACCTCAAAATGATGTTACCATTCAAATTGGTGACGGGATATGGGAATTTATCCGCCGAAACTAAAAAAAAATAGTAGGCAATTTTCCAAATCACAAAAAGTTTAAATGATAAAGTGCCAAAAAGTAAGGCGCACACGAATCTTTCGTCACCATTCTAAATAATGTTGTTAGTTTGGGTTAAATTGTAATCACTTGACAAGTTTAAGGTGCATGAGAAAATTTATTGAAGTACAAAAGACAAGGCCGATAATGTTAGGGTTATTCTTTTTATAACTCAAGTCACAATTTAAATTCTATTTTTACAGTGTTTTCTTTTATAAAAAATTTAAAATTAATTTTTTTATTACAGTATATTTTTCTCACATACATAACTCAAGTTCTCAACAATACAAGCAGCGAAATGCAATAACAATTTGAAAAGTAAAAATAGTCAACAACTATTAGACCACTAATGTTTGCAACAAGTACATAAATGCTTGCAATAACTAAGGCCCCGTTCATTTCGTCGATTCGAATTTAAAATTTGAGTTTTATTACAGTAAAAAGCTCTTAGAAACAGTCACATCTAACTTTTTTGCTACAGTAAAAAACTCTCACATAAAATCACATCTCAACTCGAATTAGCGAACTAAACGGGTCCTAAATGTTTTCTATCATTGATACTACTACTGTTTTGACAACTACTAAATATTGTTAATTGATAACTAACTGTATTGTTCAAAAGTTGGGTCAATTTAAATATCTTAAATCATCCAATCAAATAGATGGACGTATCAAGCATTGGATCCACATATAAAAAAGAAAATAAGTAGAGCAAAAACAAGGAAGTGGATTCAATTTTTTGAGGAAGATATGTCTCTAGAATCAATTTGTCATTGTCAACAGACTTGATATTGGATGTCACTTATAGAATGACAGCTAAAGTCTTTTTTGATTCTATAACCAAACTGATTCGTATATTTTACTTGAAAGGTGAAAGAAGATATACATCATAAACATTACCAGAAAACAAATAAAATACAAAATTTACGAATAGCATAAATTTTACCGTGTGTACTCAGCGTGCACACATTCATGCACAGGGACCCACCGCAATCCATCTTCAAATACAGTCTAATTAGAAAACTAAATTAAATTAAAATGTGTATCGGATTCTGTTAATTTTTCATTTTAAGATGATCTAAGAATCATAAACGTACAATTACTGATAAAATAGGAAGCTTCTCTTCTTTTAACACGAGAAATTATGTTAAAAGACTTTCATTTGTCATAATAAGATGTAAACCAAATTGCAGTTGAAATACAAAAACTCGAATTTCAGGAAGAAGGAAAAAAAAAAAAACAAAGAAAACCACCAAATGACACTCGTTAATGATTTAGTTCATAGACAACATATAGCTAGTAATCATTTGCATCATGGTGAAAGCAAATTCAATAAAACAAAATAAAATAAAATCACCAACTGAATATAATAATTAGCTAGCAGCTGCTGAAACTCCAACGTGAATTTACTTTTGGGATTCTTTGAATAAGCCTCGTTCACTTCGCGGATTCGAGTTTTCAATTCGAGTTGAGATGTGACATTTTCTGAGAGCTTTTCACTGTAGTAGAAAAAGTTAGATGTGACATTTTTTGATAGCTTTTTACTGTAAAAACTTATAACTGAAAACTCGAATCGATGAAATAAACAGTGCTTATTTAGTGGATTCCTCGGTCCACCATGGAGTTTCTCACGAGCTAGCTCTTAGGTGGGTAGCTTTAGTTAAGTGGGATTAGCTTAATTTAATTAATTTATTATTATTATTATTTGTAAATGGTTCTCTTCTCTATTGTCTTGTCTGCTTTGAGCAAGTGCAATTGTGGAGCTGATCTTATGGTCTATTTTTCTTTTTCCCCATAAAAGAGGAATAATTAAATAAATAGAGGAGCAAAATAAAAGGAGATACGCATCACACTTGATAGAGAGAGATGAGATGTATGCAACTTTGGTACAGCAAAAAGGTTAAATGCCCATTCCCCTGGTCCATGTTATTCACTATGATCCAATTAGAAAATTTCCATACAAAATCCTTATTCGGAGGAAGGAGAGAGAGAGAGAGAAAAAAAGAACAAAAATTAGGAAATAATTAGTTGTAAAATGAGTATTTACACTCATGATAAAATAATTTTTAGTAAATGATCAATTTTGTATATTTATTTATTTTTTCAAAAAAATTAATTAAATTTAAGGTTAATAAACTATTAAGAAGGATTTTTTTTTTTTTCTTCAAATTGAAGTGTTTGAAAGTATATTTACTTTATCCAAAAGCTAGAAGATCAAAAATCCGCACTCAAAGCTCAAGCTAACCACACTATTTTTTTTTCGCCGGTTTTTTCACTGGTGTTGAAAGGTCCTGCTCTTTTTGATGTTTTAATATTCTAGTTTGTATAATTTTTTAATCCTTTGTTTACAAAAACTATTACCCTAATTAATTTGTGTTTTGTATTTTTTTTTAGTGTTCGGCTATTTTTTTTGCTCGTATAATTTGTTTATGGTTTTTGTGTGTGTGTGTGGCGGCCTTGATGCCATAAATTTCTTGATACCGGTTAATTAGATTTTTAATCGATTGTACATAATTTTTTAGGACCTATTTAGTTTATGCGTTTAAATCAATGATTCTGATTCATTAGCAGGAATTTTGTGAGAGAGCTATTAGTGAAATTTTTTTGAATTATTTATTTATGATAAAAAAACACTATAGAAAAATCAGAATCATGAATTTAAATACATTTGCTAAACGAGTCTTAAAAAATTGAGTGCGCGATTAAATTTTATTAGTTTTTTTTTTTTTTTTTTTTTGAACTCTTCTATTTGTAGAGCTCTATAGTCTATACCTATTATTTCTTGTTGAACGTTTTATTTGAGTTTACTAATAAGACCAGGTGACTATTTGCGTCGTGTGTCTTGTAACATGATGTTCGGAGTGATATTTGATTTTCCTCAAAATTAAAAAAATAAAATAAAAATAAACTCAAGCAAGCGTGCGGGTTTTCGTCGTACGGAGTTCAGGACTTCCGTAAGTAGGACCCATGCAATTATTTTGTGGAACACGGGCCCAGCTATCCATAAGTGGCTTAGGGGATTTTTAACAGCCCACGAGTGCGCAGTTGTGCTTTTTGTCGTTTCTTGCCGAAAAAGAAAAGGAAAAAGGGGAAACCAAGAGAGAGTGCGCGGAATAAGTCGCAAAAAATATGATATCCAATCCAATATTCCCTACATCCTAAAAGATTATTAAAAGATTATATGCTTATGGTCCACAAACAAATAAAGGGCAAAAAAATAAATTCATTTGTCATTTAAGCAGAAATAAAGGTCGTGTTTTGAATTGATCTAATTTTTATTTTTTACGTTTTTTGAGAAATAAAAAATGAAAACGTTTTCAAAACAGCGTTTGGCGCAATAAAGACAAAAAATGAAATGAAAACGATTTTTTAGTTTAGTATAAAATGAGAAAGAAATGAAAAATGACTTTTATACCTCGTTCATTTCACCGATTCGAGTTTTCAATTTTAAGTTTTTACAGTAAAAAGCTCTCATAAAATATCACATCTAACTTTTTTTGTTACAGTAAAAAGTTCTCAGAAAATGTCACATCTCAGCTCAAATTAAAAACTCGAATCCGCAAAGTGAACAGGCATTTAGTCATTTTTCATTTTTTATTTTTATCTTCTCCTCTCTCGAGTAGAGAGAGAAAGAGACATTAATGAGTTTTTTTTTACACTGAAAATAATCTATTGATAAAACTACCAAACGCATTTTAAAAAATGATTACTGTCTGAGATTGGAAACGTTTTCATTTTTTATTTTTATCTTCTCCTCTCTCGAGTAGAGAGAGAAAGAGACATTAATGAGTTTTTTTTTACACTGAAAATAATCTATTGATAAAACTACCAAACGCATTTTAAAAAATGATTACTGTCTGAGATTGGAAACGTTTTCATTTTTTATTTTTATCTTCTCCTCTCTCGAGTAGAGAGAGAAAGAGACATTAATGAGTTTTTTTTTACACTGAAAATAATCTATTGATAAAACTACCAAACGCATTTTAAAAAATGATTACTGTCTGAGATTGGAAACGTTTTCATTTTTTATTTTTATCTTCTCCTCTCTCGAGTAGAGAGAGAAAGAGACATTAATGAGTTTTTTTTTACACTGAAAATAATCTATTGATAAAACTACCAAACGCATTTTAAAAAATGATTACTGTCTGAGATTGGAAACGTTTTCATTTTTATTTCCATACAAAAAATAAAATTATTTTGAAACGAGTTCCAAACGCGCCTAAAATCATATATCTTTTGCCTTCTCTTTTTAGTTTATTTTTTTATTTTCTTGGTAAGGAAATCAAGGTATGTTTTTTTGTACTTTATAATTCATATGCAAACAAAAGAAAAATATAAAAATTAAGGTATATTTTGTTTTCATAATAAAGAAAAATATTTTGTAAAATAAAGAGAATGAAAAATGGTTGTAGTATCCTTGAAAAAAAGGATGTATCCATTACACAAAGAATGCTTTTTTTAATAAATTGCTCAACTTATTCCCAGAATGTATAGACATAAATTTTTATTATTTATTTTTAATTAATACTCATTTAATTAATATAATTATTTAACTAAACGTGATATTAATTCAAAATAAAAAATATAAATATAAATTTATACATTTTAATGAGTATTTATTTATATTTATTTAATTCTATAATCGTTATGATATAAAATGCGAAGAATAAGGTGTTGGGGGAAATGAGAAGGTGGAAAGGAGTTGACGCGAACTTACCAACTTGATATCTATCCGTATTATTCTTTCCGAAAAGTTACGATACATATTTCCAAAGATATATGATAAGAAGTATAAACACGTATATATAGGAATATATCTATGTACATGCCAATTAGTCACAATCATTTTAAAAAATAGTCACAGTCTTTCGTTTTCAATTTTGCTTTTTTTTTTTTTTTTTGCTTTTTTCTTCCCCCCTTTTATCAATTGTCGGATTGTACAACAAGGTAACAAATGTCATATTTTGATTTGGGGATTTTCTTACGGAATAAATAGTCATAACATCTTTTTTTCCCCCTAAAAGAAAAAGAAAAAAAAAAAAGAAAATAGTCATAACATTCACTTAGGATAACATTAGTCCTTGGAAGCAAATAATAATCCTACGATGGCATGCATGTAAAATATTCTCTTTATTGTGTTAATTTTTTATCCCTCCAATAGATTATCTTTTCATTCTCAAAATATAATGAGTAATTCTATTCACACACTGCTATTTACTCTTCACACTCCTTTTTAATTATAATTTTTTATTAAAAAATTCTCAAATGTAAAATGACAAAAAAAATGATTACAATAGACTTAATAACACAATTAAATTTTATTATAAAAATAATGATATTTTATTTTTTTTCCCTTCACACACCCCACATGTCATATTCTCAAATTATGAACAATTGTTATTTTGAAATGTATGATAAAACTTTAATTTTTGCCATTCAATAACTATGTTAAATTTTCTTGGCTATTTGTTATACGGTGATTATTCTTTTGCCTTTTCTTTCCTTTCATTTTGTGTTAATTTTGTTTTTCTAATTAGTTCATTTTTGAAAGGACAAATCATTTTGTTTTATTTTACTTTTCGTTTCTCATAAAGTAGAATTGATTTTCTTTCTCATTTTATTCCTTTTTATGCTTATTATACTCGTTTATTTATTTTTCATTCTTTTTCCATTTTGTATTCTTAATCATACATCAATAATATAATAAATTTGTTATTGTATTTTTTATTTATCGAATTGTATATTGCTTTCTATTTTGTATTTTTGAGTGTCTTTTATGTTTTTTAAAAAATTATTGTAATAAATTTTCTTCTGGTACAAAAAAGGCGTTATGTCTAAAGCTTCAACAAAAAAAAAGAGAAATATAGAAATGATAATATTAAAATAAAATAATGGGTGTGAAAAGAATGAAATGATTAATAATTAATAATCCTATACAAATAGTTTAGGGTAATTTTGAAATAATAAGAGTGTGTATAAAGTAAATTCAACCATTTTAAAATTATGTGGGATGTGTGTTTAAATTGAAGATGTGAAGAGTAAAAAAAAAAGGTGTGTGAATAGAACCACTCAAATATAATTAGTATTTAAAAAGTTTTCTTTGTGAACAGTCTCTCATGTAGTCCCACAACCACGATGAATTGTTAGGACTCTTATTCAAATACTCTCTTTAGTCAAACAGAGAAAGCAATATTATTTAACAAAAAAATGACAATTAAAGGTCAAATCTTTCTAGAAGTGCAACTCTTTTTTGTTTCCCGTTTCGTTTTTGCAAATTCTGTGACATACTGAAAAATTGCTCCCAAAACCCTCTTTGGGGTCTTGTTTTCGTAGCAAACAGATGGATGGTTTAATCTGAAAGTGGAATTGAACATGAGAATTTGTCGCTGCAACAAACCCGGTTTTATTTGGTAAGCTCAAAATTATTAGAACTACATCAAGAAAGTTAAACTTGTACAGCTGGTAAACTAGACTCGGAACATTACAATCAAGAATAGATATCAGGCGCTGACATAACCATATAATCCATGATCAAATTCCCCAAAACCAGACACACAAACAGACAGAGCAAACACACATAATAAAAGTAACACACACATATTAAATCCTACGCTTATTAACTAACCATGACATAATAATAATAATGATAATTGATAATTGATAATCTTTGTAATTCTTATTTCCGTATGACCCTTCCTCCGCAGCTGTAAGTGACATTGCAGGTATCGCCGACAATGAGGGAGTACTCATGGACAGGCCTAGAGAGGAAGTCCGGCAAGTGGACCAACATTTCGCAAACGCAGTCGGTGTCTATCTCATACAGCCACCGGCAGCAGTCGTCCTCCTCCTGCGTGCCCTGGTGGCGGTGATGGTGGCGGTGATGCCCGTGCCCGTGCCCACGCCTCCCGCGGTGGTGGTGCGCATCCAAGGAGGGCGTGGAGGGCGCCGGGGGCGGTAACGGGCTGTAGGGTATCAGTGAGCAGGCGTAGTTCGCCAGCGCGTATTGGGACGCGCAGACCGGTCGGGGAGTTACCCCTGATGCCGGCCCGTTGAGGATCCCCTCGCTCTTCGGCACGAGGAGGAGGAAGAGGAAGAGGAGGAAAAATGAGAGGAATGTTGACGTAAGACTGCGTTCGGCTCTCTCCATGTGATCGAGTGTTTTGTTGCTTGTGTGTGATATATCACTTGCTAAAAATAATGCATGCAAAGGTGTGGAGAAGAGGAATAGGCTTTTAGTGTGTTCGGAGATTAGGCTTGTTTCAATTTATATAGAAAGCTATAATTCATGAACTGAAATTAATAAATGAAGAAAAAGGAATTACAAAGAGGGTGAGTTTCAGGTTCTGAATGGTTGAGTTTTCTCATTCGTCTTGTGTGATGGACTTGGTTAGGTGACTTGTGGATTCTCATCTTAAAATATTGTGGGGGTTGAACTTCGATTGATCAAACTTGCCCCTACTAAATGCAACGGAAAACAATAATACACCAACATTTCTGCATGGAGGAGGAAAAAATATTGACTTGTGCTGTTTCATAGGGACGGTGTTAAATTGGCCAATTCACCAACATTTCTTTTTTCCTTTTTAATTATTTTCAAACTATGAATGACACCATCAGTGTGAAAATTGCCCGTGTTTCTAACTGATGAACTCAAAATTTTGAGGTCTCTTTCACCTCTACAAGTACCAGACAATCAAGACGAGGCTGATATTAGACAGTGAATAACTTATCCAGCTGAGTTTTTGTACTCCATAGTTTCCTGACTAAAAATTGTGAAGCTGCATTTTGCCAAGCGTCAATGCTGAAACACACTGACATAGTCATTACAAACACACAGTTAATTTATCCGCCGGAACTTGAGCCCAGAACTCAACACATTGAAATAAACTCACAATCACTAAACACGAGCTCAATCGGCTAAAAAATAAAATAAAAGAAATGAATACATTAAATTTCGAAAAAGAATACATTATGCATTGCTGTCTACAAATTTTATAGAACTAAGAGACCTCTTGGACATGGTCATCAAGTATGAAGTGTGAACCATCTGATGCTCTCTCATGTTTAAAGAAGTGTAAATTCAAGAGTCTCAAAGCGATATGTAAATCTGATGCTGTTATGCTCTAGATATAGTATTTCCAACTCTCTTCGGCCTTAATCTATCCCTTAGTCTGCCATATTCTAACAACACATGGTCAGGAATTCAAACTTCAAAGGAGTATCTGATATTCAAAGTTCTCCAATACAGCGCAGGCTTCTTGTAAGCGAACAAACCAGAGCATGGCCATGATGCTTCTCTGAATATCACCGATAGTTTCACATTCGGAACCTATAAAAAATCCAACCAGAAATGCGTCCAAATATGAGCCTAAGAACATTAAATTAAAAGGTATGACCTTGGGCGTAATTCAGTTCACTGTAATGAGATTTGTGATGATGAGGTAAAAGCATGTCAATGAAGGAGACAAGTCATATAAAAACCCACTTGTTTTTACTTTCAACTCCCAAATAATGCCCAAGAAGATCAACAACACTGCAAAAATTGAACAATGGAAAGAGACTTACCAATGAATCAAGTTCAACAATCAACTTCTGAAAATTTCTTATAGAGCATGAAGCTTTAATCTAGTAACAGTCACTAGCATGTTTCATCTCACAATGTAGATTTATCATATTGTCAATAACACATTTATCTCACATCATATTCATTCGTGAAATTCCCCTTTCATGGTCAACATTTTTTCTTCTTGTTGATGCAAATCTTCTTCTACTCATCATTCCTTACAGCCACCATTTCCATGTCGTCTTCATCAGTCTCCTCCCTCTGCAATTTCAACTGCTCGTCTCTCTCTCGCCAACCTTCCGCCAAAAGCTCTCCAAACTTATCCTTTATCTCGAGCAGCGGATCGCGGTCCACCAACTGATCATCCTCGTAAGCTTCCCTCAGCACCGCCGTCTTAATCCCGCCTTTCAACGAAATGTAGAAAATCCCTGAATGCCTCGTGAACACATTCGAGAAAGCATTCGAAAATCGGTACTCCTCCCCGAACTTGCCAAGAAGCGGAACTGGAACCCTCTTAAGCAGGGACAAAGACAACAACTCGTGGAAGACCCCGACGCTTCTCTTCTCCATCTCCGGCGACGCCTGATCCAAATGCGAGACATCCTCATACGGCGAAATGTAATCAAGCTCCAACCAATCCCTAACCCATTCCCTCATTTCCTTCTTCAAAAAATACCCGGTTGGGAGCTTGTAATGGAAATTAGGCCTGACCTGGATTCCGGTCAACTTCGGTTCCTCTTCTGCTCTTCTCTCAATCACCGATTTCGCAAACTCCGGATTCCACGAAACCAATTCCAAGAACGCATTCCCTTCATCAGGGCACCCAATTAACCTAAAATACTTCGAATATCTCGGCACCAAATTGACCAAAAAATCGTTTGGGAACCCAAATTCCCTCTTCACATTAACCAATTTCTCAGCACTGAGCACCTTATCCTTAGACATCATCAACAATTTACACAATTTCGATACAATCAAAGGCTCATTATCCTTAACTATCCTTCTCTCTTCCTCCAGAAACTGTTTAAGCCGATCGCTGACGCGAAGAAACTTAACGGATTGGGACTTGGGTTTGATCCTATCATAGTAAACATCGAACAAGCTAGGATTTTGGTTAAGAAAGGTTCTGACCCTGATGTTGAGGCGCAATCTCTCGCGCCGTTTTTCTAAGTACCGAAGTGGGATCACTTGGCCCGGTTCGTTGAGGACCTCTTTCACGACCCGGGCACATATTTTGTACCGTTTGTCGTTCTCTATGGCCTTGTCTAGCTTCCGGTCCTTTCGCCAGGCCACTTTCAGGCTTGAAATCGGTTTCGTTTGAAGGTTGTGGTGTGGAGAAGTGAAAATGGATGTAAGATCGTGCAAAGACGAAGAAATAGTTCGTGTTTTGAGAGGCATACCTGAAGAACGAGCTATGGAGTTTGTTCCGCACAGTTTTTGAGTTTCGGAGAACGGCGGAGGAGAGGAAGAAGGAAGGAACAGTGTTTGTCAGTGTTCAGGGACCAGGGTTTTAGCGGCGGCGAAGTTTATGGGCCGCATTTTCTGGAGGCCCGTATTTGAAATATTTGGGTTCTCTCGTGAGATTATTTTCTCCATGCGCTTATTCGCCCAAATTCAAAAAAAAAAAAAAAATTAAAGTAAGTTACAATTTTATTTAAATTTATATTTTTTTTTATAAAATTTGAGTTTAAATTTAAATTTAAATTTGAGTTTGTAGTTAAAATTTGAGATTAAATTTTCTATTTAACTTGAGTTTCTAAACTTAAACTTAAATTAATAAATAATATTTTTTTATTCTTAAATAATTATAAACAAACGAAAATTGTAATAAACGTCATATTTTTTAAACTAAATTAAGTAAATAACGTTATTTGAACTAAATAACAATTTATCCTTTTAAATATTTCATTTACAACACGTAAAAAAGATTTATGTGGTAAAATATCTTTATTTATATGACATTTTTTTTTATCAATCGTAAAATGAAAATTTACGTATAAATTTGTTTTATTAATCGTAAATGAAATATTTACGCGACAAACTACTATTTACTTTAAATAATTTTAAAATTTACTATTTATTTAATTTAGTTTTATAAATATGTTATTTACTACATTCTTCCTTACACAAAAGGCCAATTATTAAGGAGAAATGTACGTGATTTATAATAATTTTGTATGATTTATATCATTTTAAATAAATAATTGAGTGTAATTATAGTCTATCTATTATTCATTTAAATAATTTGAATATTCAATTTGTGGTTATTAATAGTACATTATTCTGAATGTACTTTTTTTTTTCTAAGTGAGTAGTTATGAATTTATATAATAGGTAGTTATGAATTTGTATAACTCAATAAGACAAAAAGACAAAAATATCATTAAAGGTTATTTTTATAGATATGCGTGCGAATCACAACTTATAGTATTCTTTTATTTCATCCCTGCACAATAGACATTTATTTATTAACTCTATTTTCTTTGTGAAATTATACTAGATATGCCCTTCGTTAAAATACTTCTACATCGTATAGTTTCTTTTTGCTCAGTCTAAATCGTATAGTTTAAAATGAATAATTTACCTTAAATATGTTATATATCATAAAATATTTTAAAATGTGTTATTTATCATATATACTTTCAGGAAAAATTTATTTAACTCTTCATATTTTTTAATTAATTAATAATAAACGTTCAGCGTAATATAATAAATAAATTTTTTACTTGTAATTTATTTGTTTGCAGCATATCTATATATTTTTTTTCTTTTTGAGAAATTGTAATAATCGTTATGACAAATAAATAAATAATTGAACTTTATTGTTAATGAAAAAAAACACTGTACTTGGTTAATAAGTTTCAAGTATGATATCTCTCATTAATATAACCAATGAATATGATATTTTTATATTTATTAACCTTTTAATCAGTAAATATAATGTTTATTCATGTTTACTAATTAATTTTAGTTAATAGGTGTGATATTTATCTAATGAAATATTTATATTTAAAAGCTGATCATTTTCGTATATCAATCCCCCTCCACCCCAAATGAGTTCCAAAGTTTGTAGAATTTGGTACAATAGAATCATCTAAGTTTACAATTAAGGGAAATGTACATAAAAAAATTTAGGGAGAAATAGGGAAATAGGCTAAGATTTAAGATGAATTAAAATTAATAGGCCAATAGTTTACATAAGTTAATAAATAGACTAAATTACTATTTTCGTCCATAATTTATTTGGTTATGAACCATAACTTGACAAGTTATTGTCCATAAATCACAATTTTTGTCCATAACTTGTCTGGCTATGAACCATAACTTGACAAGTTTATCCATAACTTATTTGGTTATGAACCATAACTTGACAAATTATGGCCTATTAATTTCTGTAATTAAAAGTTGGCCTATATACTTCCTTAAGCTTTTCATATTGGCATATTTTCTACTATTTCTGAAAATTTTATGATAATACTGTTGAAGCAAACATGTTAAACTATTATGAAATCAAGAAATTTATACCTTTTGCGGGAGAGATGGGAACAAATAGATTACCCCTCTTAGATCCCGTTTATTTCATCGATTCGAATTTAAAATTTGAGTTTTATCACAGTAAAAAACTCTAAAAAATAATCACATTTAATTTTTTACTATAATAAAAAACTATCAAATAGAATTACATCTAAACTCTAAATTAAAAACTCAAATCAATGATTTAAACAGTCCTTAATCAACAGTTCTGGACATAATTCGAATGAGGAAAAAAAAAAAAGTTCATGCCAGGATATCGTGGCCCATGTGTCCACCATAACGGAAAGAAACAAAAATTTGGGCCTTTTTTTCTCACCAAGCATTTCTTGTTTGGGCTTTAATTAGCATTTAGTGTTTGTACGTTCATGCCAATTTAGGGGAAAAAAATGGTATTCATTGTTTGTACGTTGCCATGTTTGGTAGAGGGATTCGTTCCCTGATTCGAATCATGATTCGTGATTTGTTATAGTATTTTTTCTTATAAAAAATTCACATAAATTGAAAATGATTCGAATAACATAGTTTGAATTCTCCAACCAAACGTCTCTATAAATAAGTCTTCAGACTTCAACCATAAAAAAAAAAAAAAAATTTAAGTATTAGATTTGAACTATCTAGAGAAATATAAACTAATTTTGCTTAAGCAACTTCCCTCATGCTTCACGTTATACTACTATTAGATTTAATTTTCTTACCTAATGCGTATTATTCAATTTAAGGGGACCGAGATATGAATTGCTTTCCTTTTTTTCCTTCATAGCATTTAAAGAAAGTTTTCTTACCTAACACGTGTTATTCAATTTAATGGTGCTCTAAAAAAAATTAGGCAATCATGACAAATACATTTTAAAAGTACATGAGTCAAGATTTATATTATTTACTCTTGATTCATAACTTTTTTAATTAAATAATTACATTAACAGGTCCAGACTCATACATTATGAAGTAATTCTCCATTTTTTTTTAAAATTTAATGGGCCAGAGATATGTATTGCTTTTTTTTCCCTTGATAGTATTTAAAGAAAACTTAATTGACATGTGTTTGGTATGAAGATTCGTGCCATAGTTCAAATTATAGTTCGTGACTTGTTATAATATATTTTTTTTAAAAAATACACGTAAATTAAGAATAATTTTAAATCATAATTCTAAATCCGTAGACCAAACGTCTACATATAGACCTCTCACCTCTTACCTAATAGATATTATTTAATAAATGGGACAGAGATATGGCTCTTTTCCTTTCATTTCTTTTTCTTCATAAATATGTATTCAAATAAAACTTGCTCTAATTATCAATTTAAATAAAGTGACAAAAATGACTCACCATTAATACAACAAATAAGGGTCCATTTAGTTTATTCATTTAAGTTAAAATGTGATTTTATATGAGAATTTTTTACTGAAGTAAAAAAATTAAATATAATTATTTATGAAAATTTTTTAACGTAAATCAATAAAATGAACGAACCTATGTAAGTATTTAAATTGGGCGACACGTATTTTGGGAGAATGCAATATATTATTTATTGAAAAAGAAAAAGAAAAATGAGTACGATAGAGAGTGGAAATAGTGTGCTTCCCAAAATCAAATTATTCTCATACAATCAACAACAGAACTTCCACAATCTTTGACCGTAGGATTTTTGGAACTGATTAATCAAGTACCGTATAAACGGACACGATGGTTTCAGCTGTCAAATGCGACGTAGACAAAACAATCTTTCTTATCCAAAAAAAAGAAAAAAGAAAAAAGAAAACAGTCTCTTTTGCTTCTCTTTTTCTCCTCTCTGAAACTCTGCTTCTTCTGTGCGTATACTGTTACCGAAGAAAGAAGAAGACGAAGAAGAAGAAAAAGTTAAATGCGAAATTCGATGGTGTTATTGCTCAATGCCCTAACCCTAGCTCGGACCATGACGGTCTCGACGAGCGACCTGGTTTTCGAGGCCGAGGACATCGAGTTCGGCCAGCCATGGTGGTTCGTCTTCGCCGGCGTATCGTGCCTGCTCGTCCTCTTCGCCGGGATTATGTCGGGGCTAACCCTAGGGTTGATGTCGCTCAATCTCGTCGAGCTCGAGATTCTCCAGCGTAGTGGAACCTCCACCGAGAAAAAACAAGCCGGTCCGTGAATTCCTATGGAAATTCTTCTCGTTATCAAATGGATTAATCGGATGATTTGATCAAATTAATGGAATAAAATTGGTAATTTGCATTGTAATCAAGCTCCATATAAATAATTTGCGGTCATTTTGATTGAGGTTTTGTCCATATGTGCAGCTACGATTTTACCTGTTGTGCAAAAACAGCACCAGCTTTTGGTTACCTTGCTTCTTTGCAATGCTTGTGCCATGGAGGTAAATTATTGATTGAACTTTGAAGCGCTTCTCCTTTATTTACTTTTATATAGGTTTCGTAGTGTGATTTTGCTTTGTCTATTTAAAGATAAAAAGAAAAAGAAAAATAAAAGATCTTGACTTCAGTTCCAATTTTGGAATTTATAGCTGTTAAATCATAATCATGGTAAGCTGTAATCCGCCTGGAATGGATTTTATAGAATTTATTCTTAAACAAGAAGACAAGATGTACTTTGTGCAATGGTTTTAATCAACAAATAAACTTTAAGCATCGTTTGGTAACAAGCGTACTAACAAATGATGAATAGTGAGTGAAATAAAATGTTTTCTTTTTTTATTGCAAGGATGTGCAAAGATGTACTGTTCTTGGTTATGAATATTATAAATTCATTAACGTGAAACCCAGTGGAGAACAAAACGATTTTAGTTAGTACCCTTTATGTTGTCTCAACTTTCAATCAATGCATTTTAATAAGGGAAAAAACTGAATGGGGGAAGCACTAGGATTAAAACAAATAATTCATGGTTTTCTTTGGAAGTACTGGAAAAACTTTACATACCTTTGCTTGTGGCAACTCAATTGATTAGCTTATTACTCTTGCAGAAGAAGAAGCATATAAAAATGCACTATAGTTTTCCATCTTCTTACTTTTGATTCTGCAGGCACTTCCTATATATCTTGATAAAATCTTTCATCCATTTGTTGCTGTTTTGCTGTCCGTAACCTTCGTTCTAGCATTTGGAGAGGTAGTGTTTGGCCAACTTTGAATGCTCTACGTCTAAGAATTCTAGGCTTGAAAGAGACTAACTTATTCCCTATTGAATTGCGGCAGATAATTCCACAAGCTATATGCTCAAGATACGGGCTCGCAGTTGGTGCGAATTTTGTGTGGCTTGTCCGTATTCTGATGATCATCTGTTATCCAATTTCTTACCCTATTGGAAAGGTAGTATTTCAGTAGTGAATCTTATATTTTGTTTAGGGAACTTTAGTGTATAGCACCTTTTATCGCATATGATGGCAACTACTGGTAGATACCATAATCTTTTCATGTTCTTATCTTAATGAGATTAGCTAATGCAGTCCAGTGTAGTCCGTAACTCTTCCATTTGTTGTGAGCCGTTCAAATTCTTTCTTTAAGAAAGAAATAGTTTTATTTGGACTACAAAAAATGTAAGAAACACGGAATAACTTGGTCGTAATCCGTATCAAAGATGAGATCAAGATCTAGTAAACTTCACTGGAAACTGCCTATCATAAGTTGATTCCTTCATGTATTATGTATCAAGCACATCTTGATGTCAAAATGGTTTTAGGTTCTGGATGCTGTACTTGGACATAATGAGGTTTTATTCAGGCGAGCTCAGTTGAAAGCCCTTGTCTCCATCCATAGCCAAGAGGTAACCGTTCTCATTTGGAAATCAGTACGTGTGCCACTACTTCTTCTTGTCCTGGAACTCATAATAGTTCTACCTTTTTTGAACAAGAACCATAAACATGAAAAGATACTGCCACCCCATCAGTCTGCAGTGTATATATATATATATATATATATATATATATATATATTTGGATTGGGGAACTATCTCTTGGTTATTTTTTTGTAATTTGCTCATCCTGTTGCTTTAGGCTGGTAAAGGTGGTGAACTCACACATGACGAGACAACAATAATCAGTGGTGCTCTGGATTTAACCGAAAAGGTAGCATTCCTATGTATATGTATATGCATATGTATTTTGTGAATTTTCATCAGCAACTGTGGTACACTAATATGTCCTGCTAAGATGAAAGTAGGCATTACATAGAGAAACCATAAATGGTCTTTGAGCTGGAGATCTGCTTTTGATAAAAGGAAATACTTACTCTACACATAGCATAAGACATGACTGCTTTATGGCATACTTACTTGTCACATTGTCTTTATTCTATATAACATGGTCGAACTACTCAAGCTTCTTGATGTGTGCAGACTGCGGAGGAGGCTATGACACCTATTGAATCAACATTTTCCCTAGACGTCAGTTCCAAATTGGACTGGTGAGTTGAAGTTCAGAATAATATTCAACTTTTATCCATTGTTTTCATATGTATGGATGGCGTCTTTTACAGCATCACTTGCTGAGGTCACTTCAGGACTGAAAATACCTTTCCACTTGTTTTCTGCTATCCTCTGGGAGATTCATTAATATGGGATGTACAATGTCTTATAAATTACAATGCAGGGAAGCAATTGGAAAAATTCTTGCAAGAGGGCATAGTCGTGTTCCTGTCTTTTCTGGAAATCCGAAAAACATTATTGGCCTTCTGCTGGTAGGTGCATAGCTACAAACTTTTTCAGATTTTTTTTTTTTTTTTTCCTTTATAAGTTAAAGCCAACTATTGTTCTTCAGCTGATTGCAAAATTTGTTACCTATTATGTACGATTCTTTTTGTCTGGTGTCCAGGTGAAAAGTCTTCTCACAGTGCGGGCAGAAACAGAGACTCCAGTAAGTGCTGTTTCCATTCGGAGAATGCCTAGGTGTGCATTTTTCTCCCCTATTGCTCATATTTTTCCTTGTTCCGAAGAATGAAATTCTCACGCTTGGATATTCCAGGGTCCCAGCAGATATGCCTTTGTATGATATCCTGAACGAGTTTCAGAAAGGAAGCAGTCATATGGCAGCAGTAGTGAAGATCAAAGGAAAGAGCAAGATCCCCCAGCCTGCCCTTGATGGAGAAAAGTGCGAGGAAGACACATTCACTAATGCAAAGTCCCAGTTAACTACCCCCTTGCTTACAAAGCATGATGACAAATCAGGAAGTATTGTCATTGATGTTGAGAAAGCTTCGAGGCCTTTGACAAACATGCAAACCCTTCAACAAAATGGTGTCACAACCAATGGCTTCCCATATTCTTCAGAGGATATTGAAGATGGGGAAGTTATCGGAATAATCACCCTGGAGGATGTTTTCGAAGAACTTCTGCAAGTAATCACTCCTTCCACAGCAACCACCACATGCTTCTACCACTTTGCCCTGTCTTCCAACTTGAATTAACTAAGAACTTTTTTATTTTCGTATTCATATTATGTGTTTGCATAAATCCCACATTGTTTCCTTGCATATACGTGTTACTTGTTCA